AGTCTCCGTATGTACCTGGATTAACCAAAGCAATAATCCTAGGAAAAAGAGGTTCCATGCATGAGTTTGATGGCACTCCACAAATTTTAACAATGGAAAAGGATGAAGACGGACGAATAATTAATGCAAATTGGTCAGTTAAAGGCACCTCAACTTACATTCTTACATTGAAATGTAAAACTTTACAAAACATTCAACCCTCTCATGCGAAATGGGATAATTTCGTCATAACTTGCTCATGTCCTGATGGCAAAAATAGAAGAAAATTGATTTGCAAGCATGCACATAAATGCTTAACAACCGTTGTAGATACAACTTTAGAAGCTGAACAAAAGAAGATCGCTGAAGAAGAACGTAAAAAATGGGAAAAAGTTTTTAAAGAAGAAGCCGAAAAAGAAGCAAAAATTGTCAAAGAAAAAGCTAAAAAGAGAAGAGAACTTGCCATAGAACAGGAATTAGCATTACCTGGAGAAAGAAAAAGAATTTTACGTGGCCTTGATACCATTAAACGGATGAACTTTAGGGAATTTGTTTTGGAAAAGTGTAATGAAAGTGTTGAATCATTGGAACATCTTTCAAAATTATTTCCTGAATCTTTATTACCCAAAATTAGTGACTTGACAACGAAATGTGAACGTTGTAAGAAGTTCTTTGCTCCAACTAACAATACCGAAAAAAGTTGCCAAAAGGATCATCCATATAGTAGTGTGCGCAGCACCGGAAAATATGAATATTTCTGCCGTCGATGTGAGTGCAATTTTTATTGCCCAGACTACGGTTTGGGATTTAGTGATTGTGAAGATCCTTGCTTTGAAGGTATGCACACAACTGATAAAAAACTAGTTGAAGAAGAATATTGGGATGAATAGGCACTAGTAGTGCTTACATCGATTAAAAAATTAAATTTATGATAAAATATGTAAGACTTTCAATTTTTTTGCGTCATTTTTTGTTCACAAGCTCAAAATAAATATTTTACCACAATAAATCAATACAGAGCAAACGAACTTCGCTTTCTAATCTTTCAAACTTATTCGCACGTTCACTGAGAAAGATATTAAATTTCAACCTTTTTTGTCTGGCTTTCCACAGAATTATTTTTTTTGATGAAATACAATTATCTTATCCTCACGATCGAACTGGTAAAGTCACAATGAGCTTCTTCGTGAATCTCTTTCAATCGACTGAATGATTTTCAAAGAGATGTTGATTTCTTATACAGACACCTTTCCGATATAAGCTTAAACTGGTTAAACAGAAAAGCCATAAATTAACGTTCCGAATAAATGTTGAGAGTATGGAAGAGAAACTTGGCAAAACGTTATTTAAAATGCATAATGAAGAGTCAAGAAATTCAAGAGAATTTCAACACTTTAAATTTCAGATAGCAAGAGTGCCACTATTAATTAATCCCAATAGAATTCTTTCTTGCTTCCTACATAATAACCAATTTTCTTAACTCGTTTGGTCTTGAAAAACATCACAACGTGAATAGCTAATATCAGAAAAGTTTCAAATCATTGTAAACATCATTCAATGTCAATAACCGAACTCATAAAAATGAGTATGAACGTGATACTTTATTTTTATCGATTCCCATCACAGCAACTTAACATTGTAGTCAGATTTTTAAGTTTTAATTTGAATTCAACACATTTCTACTTAGCATTTTATACAATGAAACTCAGAAATGACAATTGAAGTTCGATCGATCGATCATTTTTATTACGATCGGAAGGTTTGAAATCTTCAATTTTTTTCAATTGTAATTTACGATTTATTAACAGTTATTGTGAAAGAAGTTCCTTCACAGCCCTGGAACTTGCCTAAAGTCTCTAATAACTTATTCATATGATCACTTAACCAATTAAGAAGCTAATTGGTAAAAACCTTTGATTCACACATTGCTTTATGAAATGATTAACGACTGGTACGTAGCTTGACTGAATATGTAGCAAAGTAATGTTGAATGAACGTACGAGAAACAATTTTTATTATTACAAAGAAGTTAAAGAAAAAGCGCAGATCATATGAATAATTCTGGGTCAAATCGTTGCACTTCCCAACAGCAACAAACATGCTACAAATACCGTTAATAAATTGTAAACATTTGAAATGTCAGCAGCCTACACATTTGTTGTCATTTTCAAACTAACGAGTCACGCTTTTATATCCACTTTCTGGTAATTCACGATTATGAGATGAAATAACTTATGTATCGTTGATAATTTTCACATCTTACAAATCTGATGAGAAAGATCACACATTTTAATAAATCGTAATAAAAAGTACTTTTAATGTCATTCTAAAAAAAGATTTTTCCTTCTATTTCTGACATTTTCGCATGATTTTATGTTCAGACTGTGAAATGTTTAAATATCATAAAGAAATGAATATCAAAGTCGTTGAAATATCTTTTCATCGAAGTCAATCATACAAAGTGTTATTTTTTAAATTAGATATTCTTTAAGCTTACTTAATTTATATACACATGGAAAGAAAACTAAAGAAACTACAAATTGTACGATGATAGATATAAATTACGTAACACTACAAAATTAGCTGCGTTAATCAGTTATTCACTTGTATGCTAATTCATTGCAGAGAGTTCAATGAAATCATTTAAATATTGAGAATATTTAGAAAATTCTAACGCTTGCCATATATCAACTTAGAATGTGCCATTCATAGATAGTTTACGTTACTAGTTATTTATAAATTATAATTAGTTACGACTTTTTCATTTTTCATGCTTTTGAAGTGTGTTTAAATGTTTACATTTGCAATGGAATGACTTAAGGATACGTAAAATGTCTAAAGCGAAGATATTTTCCAATCATTGAGAACTAATCACTAATGGAACTTGCTGTTAATGTTGAGAATGAAAGATGAGCTTGCCTCTTCATACATTAATCTTCCAACCGACCACAAGTCTGAATATGATTATGTGTCGCTTACGAACATCAAACTGATGAATGACTAACATAAAAGTGTCGTCATAAAACATAATCTGCCGATAGTAATGAAGCAACATAAACTTCAAGGTCAAAAAAATGAGAGTCGACACATAACTTCATCGATAAAAATCTAATAATACTAATTGAAGACTCAGTCCCGACGTCTACGCAAAAGGTTTTGTCATAATCAATAAATTTTCATTCACCAAATCGCTCAGTGTTTGAGTTTCAATTTGAAACAGAATTCGTCAAAACGTTTCGAAATAAAAAATTGAAATTTATTAAAATTTAATTCAATTTTCTAAAGCGGCTGAATCTTACTATAAATAATTTACTACAACCGTTTATTTCTCCCATGACCACACACAACTTATCAGATGAAATAATTTTTTCAATTTTTTTCCATTCTGTTGCATTAAAGCATCCAATAAATTCACATATTTTCGACTTTTTCTCTGTTTTTCCATGTTTGACGCACCCATTTATATGCGACATTATTTAATGAATCGACATTTCAATGAAATCGTTGAACGAATGTGCGTGAAGACAATTAAATGATAATGGATGATTTTATGGCCATGATCCGGTATTTCAGCGATTTTCAACTTGCCATTCTTTGCTTATCAAATGAAAACATTTTGAGGATTTCAAGAGCGTTTCAAAAACATCTCAAAACTTTCATGGTTCAATTGAAAGCAGAGAAGTTCATTGACTTCCATGACATGGTAAAATATTTCTTGATACTTCAACTCACAGTCTCCACTTCGTACTATTAATCAAGAAACGCTTTTGTGCAACCGCTCGCTTGATTTTTCTTTTTGTTTTTTCATGAAACATAAGAATATGATAAGAATTTTAATTATTTTTTTCTGGTTATCTCTTGGGAGCAGAGAATTTATGATTGAAGAGAAAATCTTCCGTATATTTTATCTTTGTATCTGCGTTTCTAAACTCATATCGTAAATTTTTCAAGTTTTCTTTGCGTCACTTGGGATTAAACTTGTAAACAAACCTTAGATCTACGCACACATTGCCAATCTTCTAATTGAAGAAAACGTTTTATTTTTAGGAAACGGAGAAATTCATTGCTAATAACTGACAATCTTTTTATGATATAAAAATAGTTTAACGATAAATAAAATAATTTCACGACTTTTTGCAAATTTCAAATATCTTTACTTTCAATAGATTTTTTTAATTTCACGCTCGTAACTACGAACTAATCTGTGAGTGGGCGGATATTCTTTATTGCTATTAATCTCCTGTTCAACTCATAAAATTTGTTAAATATCGTAAGTCATTTTAAGTACAGAATAATAACAAAACTGACCGCAAAATCTAGTTTTGGGATTTAAAAAAAGAATTAAGCTTAGTCCAAAGTCTTTTGTAATGTTCTCAACAGTACGAAAAATTACATAAGAAGCTTAATCGTCGATATGTTTTCGTTCCAACGCAGGTCTTAAGTGGCTTGAAATTATTTTAAGAAAAAAAGGTCTATGTAAAGATTCATTGCAAATTAAAATGGAAATAAACTATAAATCTTAACAACCTTAATTATGTGCTGTGATGCGTAGAAGTCACAACCACCCATGAAAGTCATAAACAAAATAATCTCACGCCTGGGGCTGAAAATGGGTTTTTAAGTTAGCTTAAGTCATAATAGTTCTTTTGAAATTAATTTCAAAACCTTCTAAACGTTACATCATATCACCATGAATTAGATAAGAAAAATGAAGTTTGGATGTGATAATCAATTTTCTATTTCTAAAACGTCCTCACAATTAATGAATATTTCTAACAAAGCACAAGCATTGAAAAGGCATTTCTAGGCTGACCATTGCATCATTTACATGTTAAAATGATTCGACATAAGAATGATAGTAAAACACTCACTTTGATGTTTCACGAACAAATTTCGTCATAAAGTTTGGCCTGAATTCGCTTTACATTTTTTTTATGCATGTTCATCCGGTAGAAATCATTGAGTTGCATTCTGTAACGTGTTTCATAACGTGCACGCATTTCAAGTCAATATATCTATTTGAAGAACGTTGCTTGAGAGTAAAATTTATTGAATAAATTTTAATCTGAAACCCGTTTTAGTCCTACGCATCATGAGACATGTCTGAAGAATCAAAATAAGAAATGCTAGAAAAACGATTAGACGTAAAGCAGATGTAAGTTATAAGCGCCGACAGACATTGCCTTCTCAAGTCCAGCTCTCGATTGAGTTTCATTCATTTATTTTCGGTACGAATGAGTTCCATGTGCTCTACGTTACTTTTTTGTTACTAATTTCAAGTCATTAACACTACACCGCAGACGAAAATTAGCGCTATTATTGTTGCTGACGCCCTGAAACTCGTTTCTGAATATATTTCACGAAAGAATTCTTTGTAGGATTTTCGTGAAAATAATTTCATGAATGGAATAATCTCTTCCATTTGCTCGCAAATAAATTATCTCATTAAAGTGCTGCTTGTTATTCTACTTGGGAGTTTCTTTCGTATAAGATTGTGTAGAATGGTCAAATGTTAAGAAACTAGCTTGATAACTATAACAAAGAAACATATTTGAAAATTCAAGAACGATACGTCCATATATCATTTTGACATATCGAAATACTTTTCGCAAGTTTTTCGGAGAATTTTCGATTGTTTCCTTCTTGGCAAACAAACAAAGAAAATCTATTAACAAAATTTCACGCGTTTTGATTTTGTTTCGTTTTGTAAAGACGGACTATAAAGTTTTATGAATGGCTACAATATATATTTCATCGATCTGTATGCTATTTCAATTTTACTTCTAATCTACAACGAAATCGTGAAACTCAGTGATTGATTTTTTTTTACTTTACTTTGTAAGTGGTCAGCAAGTGATTTTATTCACTGTTAAGATTTGGTTTTCGTTATAAATCAAACATTGAAAAAATTGTTTACAAAGTTCGTGAAACATTTGCAAACAGATCATGAAAAAGAAATGAAAGACAGAAAACATATGAAAAAATGAAAATAAATCTTACGCAACATAAAACTCTTCAATTCATTCTCAAATATGAACAACATTTTTGAAGCTTGTAAATGATAAGCGACGAAGGAAAAATACTTTGTTTAACTCATTGTGCAACATTTATGTTTATATCTAGCTAGTTGCAGCATAAATCAATGAAATTTATGAACGTAATTATTTATCAAGGAAATTACAAAATAATAAAAAAAGAGAATAAAGAAAAGAATCTCAAACTATCGAACAAAATGCAACAAAGCAATTTTTTCCATTATCGCATTACCTTCATCCATGACGGGCTCTATTTCATCTTTAAAGTGAGGTTTTTGTTAAGACAAGCCGTGGTTAAGATTGTTAGTACATTGCAGTCGTTTGTATCGGGAAGAAAGATCAAAAAGAAAGATAAAAAGAAATGAGTTGAGTTAATAAAAGTTAATAAAGAGTTGAGTTGAATTTCTTTCTAACCTAATAAATATTTTATTTTGCTGGCTTACATTCATTAATCAACGTTTTCAATCAGGCGTTGGAAGTAAAGTCATAATTTGTTGTAATAAACTCGAATTACTCAATGAAGCTTGCAATTAATTCTTGGAAAGAATTTCAAAGATTTTCTTTTCTTGAATTTATTTCAAAATTAAGAATAAATTCAAGAATCTGATTCGCAAACAAACACTCCTCGAATGACGAATTATCACGAATGTAAAATGATCTCTAATCAAATAAGAAGAACACTTGATATGATGTTTGACTGTTTTGAGACAAAACTTAGATTTGAACAGCATGAATCCAACAGAGGAGTGATTGATATGTGTACATTATGCGAGCGTCAGATTTCCAATGTCAGAAGCTTAAACATACGATTGATTTATATTTTATATTTATAAGCGCCATAGAAGTTATCTCGCTCTTCATTTTACAACGAAAAGAGTTTTTTCTTCAAATGCTCAAAATATTTTCGCTTAGAATAAAAATAATTTTGAGGTTTGATGATGCAATTTTCTTCTACTTATTTCAGCTTTATCAACAATTCAAAAGTAAACATTACTCAGTGTCTCCTTTTAGTCGAAGATAAACTTCTACTATTCTTATCTCATAAAAGAATGTTTGCTCATTTGTTCATGATCAAGTCGCGAGGTGATATAATTTTGCTAATATTTATTTTAATTTCGTCGGATGTTTTCGTCGCCGCAGTTATACAAACGTATCGTTTTCCGACGACTGTTTGACTTTATTATCGCTAGCAAGATTTCGCCGGTTAGCGATTAACATAATAAATTGATTCCACCTTCAGTAAGTACTTTGGAAAATCCTTTATGGCTTTTCGTTTCTTTATTTACTTTTAAAACTTTATCGCATGATTGAATGTGCTTGTGCGTGATTTTTTTTGTTTGATTCTTGATAAAAATAGAAAACTTTAAGATACAAACTCACCTTCATTGATGTAACCAGCCTCCATATTGCCGTTTGATTTCATCGAAATTTTTTTTATGGAGCTTAAATTCTTTAATAAATTTCCTTCAGGAAAGCTTTGAGTCTCCTTTTTAATATTTTTTACACACCAAAATTACAAAACAGAAGACAGCCTTGTTTGTTTATTCACTTCTTCATCTTTTGTAAAAACTGCGAAAAACAAAAATTAAATGACGTCACAACATTTTCCATAAAAACTTTTCATAAATTATCAGCGATAAAACCAACTACACACTCGAATGATATTTTTAAGCAGGTTTAACTTGTCTTGAATCCCAATAAATATTTAATTTGAATGAAAATTTCTATTTATCAGAAACTTTTCAAATGAGATTTTCATGGTTTTCACAACTTAGAGAAAGAAACAAAAATCTTATGATTTTATCTCAAGGCCAGCAGTTTCTACAAGTTCGAGTCGTAAAAAAAGTAAGAAAAAGTTTTTGCTCGTGTGGTTTCACTTAGAAAATTTCTTCTTGTTATCACATTTCAACTTGCGAATTACATTCTAAAAGAAATTTTTCTTTTAAATCGTTTTTCACTTCACGACAAACGCTTTCCTTCTTTTTATTGCAGTTACAGAATTTCTGGCGCCACGACGTATCCATTTTCTTATCACTCGCCATATGTGAAGCCACATAATACAAAAAAAAAAGTGTGAATATTCAGGCGTAATAAGAATGAATATACGAATGACTCCTCTGTTACCGAACACTTGAGTCATCGTTTAAATAACGACTAATTAAATAAATTAAAGTGATTGCGTAACAGCCAATTCTTCATTGGATTAAAAAGAAGTTCATCTTCATTCGCCGATAAGAACTTTCGACAAAGCTTAAGCTCTAGTGACACAATTTATGGAAGAAGAAAAATCGATAATCCTCGAGACATATGTTTTAAGTCTTGCGGGAAAACTTCAAACACTACAAAATTCACTGATATAGTTTTATCTTTTTTTTCTAACAATTCCCGGATTACCTCAATGTTTACAATTACTCAATAGTTTAGCAATAATGAGAATAAAACTCGTCCAACCTCACTGAACACGAACATTATGGAAATTCGTTTTTATTACTTAATGACCTTGACTTTGAGTAATAGCGAAGAAAAAGTTTATAGTTTATCTAGAAATTAAACTACAACATAGTTTCGGTTGGACTATTTAGATAGCAATTTATGAGCTGTAAAAAATTGGATTAGAAGAAAATTCTACGTCGAAATTGATGTTTGCAAGCTAGAAAAATATTTCATGTGACGGAACATCGAAATACGTTCGCAGAATTTATTTAACTTTTAATTAGTCTTAAGCCAAAATTGTATTCAGTGGGTCGAATTTTTTAATAGTTCGCGAAAAACACAAAGACATAAATTAACTCGATCTTCTTAAAAGTTTTGCCTGTTGAAATGTAATTTAACAAATCATCTCTAAATTCATCAAGACAAACAACTTCCAGTTAGAAACACATGCTTTAAGATCTTTACGACTTTTTAAAACATATTGTGCTATCACTATCGGTTCACATAAGGCTCACACTTAGAATTATCAAAACTCATTATTTATTTTGACACTTTACACGAAACTTTTATTACAGTAACTCTTTCGAAATATTATTTCAACTTTTAATCGTTTATTCCCGGAATAATACAAATTTATTTCTGTTCCTTAAGCTTCTTTTCGTTGAGTGTTTTTAATTACATTTTTTTCTCTTTTTTAAAAAGTAATCCGAGTACGTTTTGTATTTAGCCATTGAAACTTATTCATGATGATGTTTGCAAAATTGCAAACTTAGTTGTTCTTTATATTTAGCAAAGTAAGTCAAAATAACTTCAAATCTTAATATTAGACTTTCGTGATGCTAAAATTCTGCTGTTTAATTAAAAAAAAGGCATCAAAGCGCTCAGATTTCTTTGCAACAAATATTTAGAATTCTTTTGTTTCTTTCTACGAATAAAATTTCTGCAAAATATTTTTCATTGCTGTGCAGTTGACATCACTAAAATTTATGTTGAAAATATGCTTATTTTTTATCGTGTATAAGAATTACCATTAATTAATTCAAAAACGTCTTTCTTTTTTATCTGAATCTTTCGTTTTATTTAATTAATAACAAGATTTGTAAAGGCCTCTTCGTTAAACTTTTAATTTCAGCACTTTAAGAGAAAATAAATTATTTTTATTAAATTTATTTCTCTTTAATTCACGGAGTTGCCGTGAAAACCCGTCAATTCAATGAAACGCTTCCGACCAGACTGATGCCACATATCGAATTATTTTCTTTTCAACCGGCTTTTTCTCGCTCTCGTTTCTCTCCCGTTTTATGAAATAAAAAATTCTGATTCACGCGATCGCTAAACAACTCGCTGCTCGAGTCGCAGTGCATTTAACAGATGTGAGCGGAGAATTTTCTTATGCAATTACTTAGATATGTAATTCTCTCCAAATTATTTTTCAGTCGCTGTGGGTTGTTGAATGTTTTCGCGAGAAAGAGAAGGAGATAGAATAGTCTTCTTGCAAACGATTTTCTGATGTTTTATCAATGTTTTTCCCTTTGATTGTTCGGCGAAATATTTTTTTTCATATTTCATATTCGTGAAACTAGATTGTATCATAATAAATGTTGACAATAATTTCCGAATTCATATCATTGTTCAAAACAAAAAAAATTACTTATCATAACAAATAAATCAAGACATTTTGCTTCACAGCATGGAACATCCGAAAACGCGGGCATCATGATCCATGACAAGGAATATTAATTATGACCAATTATGGAAAATATTTCCTTCATGCAGTTCTTTTTCAGTCACATACTTTCATTCTATATTTATTAATTTTTTAGAATTATGTAAATGGATTTTAAATTTTACGGCATCCCGCTGCAATTGTTAAATGATGTGGAAAATTTAAATGACTGATTGAGCGTTAATTCAAGTCTAACTTAATAGGGCAGCCAGACATGGCACCATAAATCAATTAAAATTTTTGACAATTAAGAGTTTCATTTGTAAGAATTGAAAACTTCCGTGGTTATTTGATTTGTTGCTTTCAAAAGTGAAACATTTTCTATAGAAAAGAAATCTGGAAGGAACAATTATAAGGAAATTGGTGTTTAATTTTCAGTTAAAATTAATTTATGTTGCTACTGCAAGTATAATGTCTTTGCTTAAAATTTATACAAAGACAAGCTGCATTAAGTAATGAAAATCAAAATTTTTCGTTTCTAGTTATTTTAGCGGTTGAGCTGTGAGAAAAAAGAAAAATCTCAGCTTCATGTGTTAACGCAACAAAAGATAAACAATGACGATTCTTTTTTCCTATTAAATAATGCAAAGCAATTTTAAGAGATGCATTAGACATGAATACAAGAACAGAATTGCTTTTTCAAGTGATGAATAGAAACTTCTTTGTTGTGTTAACAACAGTTCATTATCTACTTTTATGAGTTTATGAAATTCACATCGAGTATGAACCTCTCCAACATTCAACACTTGATCTTTCTTGTAGCTTTAAGAAATATTAAAATAAAATCTTTATGAAAGACGCTTTTTAACCTTGCATAATGCAGTAACATGATGATAATTGAATTTATCAACAATAAATGATAATTCCGATTTGAAAAGCGTGAAAATGAAAATCAATTTGTCGCTTTACTGAAATAAAAAATAAATATTTTTGAGTTTTGAATGCATGTTTTGATGCAAGAACACATCAAATATGTTCAACCTTACAAACATTGACTAATTTAATATTTACTTTTTAAACATACCTCCAGATGTTGGCAAGTTGTGAATGATCAACTCATAATCATCAATACAAATATTCGACATGAAATTTTGCTTGCCACCATGCAGGTATAAATTCAATGAATTCTAGAAGTTTATTTAACATTTGCTGAGATTTTTTATTGCAGCCTATACATAAAATCGTGTTCTTATCATAATTTCTTTTGTTAATTACATTTGCAATAAAATAATCACGTTTCACTACCAGATTGCCAAAATGACCTTCGTGTTCAGGAACATTTCTTTCTATGTTAGTTATTGTTATTTTTCAGCACAATTGGTTTTTTCCAACATCTGCACAACTATACAATCGCTTTATAACACAATAGTGAAATTAAACTTAAAGCAACCAAGTTGGTAAATTATCGTGGGTGAACGAACATAGTTTTAATTGCGTTCAAAGCAATAATGCAATAGAACTTACAAATAAATTATTTCCAATGGTCAGGAGAAATGCTAATAAATAGGAAGAAATAACAAAAGCGTATGTGAAGTCAAAACTCTGAAATTTCTATTATAAAAGTCAAGTGGGGATAAATCTAAGTTCAATTTATCTAGTTTTGTTTGAAATTATTTCTTCATTCCACGTCAACTTAACAATGTTGCTAAAATGACTTCAGGGAGTGTTTGTGCAAAGCACTAGACTAAATATGAGAAAAAAGGGCGAAAAAAGACGAGAAATTCTTTCCAACAGTGAAATGACCTAATTTATATCGGTTAATATTCTTCCTTTTATATTTTTTATGATTTGAAAATTATGATTTCTCAGAGTGAGCGAAGCGAAAAGAAATGAGAGAGAAAAGCAGAAAAAACACCTTTCCTCGCCACTAAATCCCCAACTTATGTTTCTTTAGCACGAACTATCAACAAAATCGTTGTGTTTCGCATTAATCAGGGAATAGTTCAGTTAAAATCATTCTATGTTGCACATACAAAGAATTTCATGTATCACAATAGACACATTTGTCATAATTTCTCTAATCTAAACTTTTGTTGGATCGATGGCGATATCTTTTGGTTTAGTGTGTTCATAAATACGACATGAGTTGTTTACAAGCTGCACACGCTTTCTGCTTTCTTTTTGAAAAATGTTTTCAACTTTTATGAAATGAAAAGGGATGGAATATGAATAATAATTGAAAACTGAAAAGGTAAACTGAGCTGCTTCCGGAATAGAATTTCCTTTCTTTAAATATATCAACACAGACAATAAATTTCTTTGGATTATTTTTTTTCTAATGCAATACTTTGATAGCATAACCACTCATTTTTCATTATGAATGTTTCATTAAATTACGTCTTTAAACTATTTGAGAAGAAATTATGAGACGACGAGTCGAACATTATTGCGTAAAAGAAATATTTAAACGCTCCATTTATCTTCTCAGTTACAGACCAACACAGACTTAACTCGACACATCAGAATGAAAAAAATATTTTTATGTATCTTCATTCTTGAGCTACTCAAATACAACTTACTAATGAATGAAAGAATCGAATGAGTAAATCGTAATATGTGGGTGAAGGTCATTCGAATATTAATGTTTAACCATTAAAGAATAAGTACACAACTCTTCAGTAAACTTCCTGATTCGAGAATGTACATTAATGTTGCCATATCGAATATCATATACAAAGTTGAATAGTTCATGGGCTCAAGATAAATCAATGAAGTCATAAATTTCTAAATTAATTTGTTAGATATTCAGATGTTGTTTATTCCCATATCAAACAAAAAAAATGATAAAAGTTTGTCTTTCAATGTGATTGCTCTTGCTCTACATATCAAATGTCACTCTTGCCACACAAAAATAAATTTTCTGTCATTCCATTGACATTCAGCAAAACCAGAATTAAATTTAATATTATCATATCATGTTAGAATAATGAAAGTTTCTTTCATCTTTGAGAACTTTTTTTATTAATAAAAATTCAGTTTTCTCATGAACAAATTCTACACTAATTAATGAAACAAAGTCAGAAAACATCAAACCATATCCTCGCGAATGAAATATGGCAAAGTGTCGAGAGGTGCTGGATAGTCTTCTATCCAAATCGGTCCTTCATAAACTGTTTCACTGTTTCCATCTTTCCATGATCCAACAGGCAAGTAAATATTTCGCGTAGTCGCACCTTCAATCACGATTGGAGCTGCAAGAATTTTCTCCCCAAGAAGAAATTCTGAAGAAAATTATTAAATTAGAATTTTGTGACTGAATATCAACTTTATAAATATTCACCGTCTTCAATGGTTTGCGCTGTTTTATCTTCTGGATCCAACCACCAAATTGGAGGATTAACTAATAAATAAGAAATTAAAATAAAATTAATTAAATTGATAAACAAAATAATTTCACCTGGATGTCCGTCAGAAACCGCCATTTCGAATCTTTCAATAATGTAATCTGCATAATCAGCATGAAGACTTGTTAATTCAAGAGAAAGATCAATTGTTTCGCCATCATATTGCCATGGCACAACAGAAAACTGAAGACTTGGCATAAAAACTGTTGCTTGAAGCCATCGAATAAACAATTCCTTGGAAATTACTTCACCCCAGTATTGATTTCCACCGATCATATCAGGAAGAACAAAAGGATATCCGTTCATGTTGAATTGAATGAGTGTTGGAATTAAACTTGCCAGTCCATTGTCAACGCCCCATCTTGAATCAAAGTCAAGCATTCGTACAAAAATGTGTAAATGTTGAGTTCCCCATGCAGATCGCACTTCAAGTTTGTCACCAAAATCGCTAGCAAGTTCAAGATAAGATCTACTCAATGATGAAGGCCATAAGGCGGGGTCGCCGGTCAAAACAGGGTCTTCAGGATACCATGTCGTTTCACCTAAAATTGAATTGTTCCATAAATATTTATTAAAATTTCCCTTCAAATAAATTTCGCAACTAACCAGCATCAAACTTGAAAATGTCAATGCTGTATTGATTTTGAAGATTTTCCAAGCTTTGTCTGAAGTAACTTCGGGCTTCAGGGTTTGAAAAATCAATATGTGCAGCTTCATTAGGTCCGCTGTTCCACCAACTTGTATCAAGACTTCCCGAATGTGATTTCACAAGGAAATTGTTGTCATTTAAATAAGTGAAATAAGGTTCGCAATCTTTGTTGACGAAGGGATGGATCCACATACCAACAATGAAACCCTTTGATTTGAGGTCTTCTGCAAGCGATCTTAGTCCTGGAAAAGTCGTTTGATTTACTTCCAATGAGCCATAACAAACTTCCCAGAAGTCATCAATATCGAATAAGCTGCGATTAAATCCATGTGCGATAATTTCATCAGCATAATCTGCAATCATTTGTTCATTTATCGGACGACCATAACGAACCCACGAGTTCCAAATTGGATATCGAACCATGTCTTCATTTGGATATCCTTTTGGTTTTCCAAGTAAATGATTGACGACATTAAGATGAGTTTCCTTGGCATTTTTACTCGCTCCAATGCGATAATTGAACTCAAATTCTTCATTATGAGTGTAGTATGGAAGTTCCTTCTTGCCAGTGAAACAAATATGATCGATTGTATCATTTGTATTCTGGTCAATAAAAAGTGGTGCTTCGTAGTCAATGAGAATGAAAAATCCATTTGATGACAGCCAATATCGTTCCATAACTGCAGCAGCTTCGAGTTCCTTCAATACATAAGCATAATCTTCGAACTCAAATTTCTGTATAGGATAACGTTGATCCATTTGTTCAGGTCCACCGTACCAGTTAACTGTGTCAGGCTGAAGGTGAAGACAATCAGTTACGACACTTGCTTTGCTTGTAAATTTCCTTTTGACATAAATCGTTGAAAAGTCTTCTGTGTTGAGGTCGATTGTGAACGATATCTCGTTGTCTTCATTCGTACGAACCTTGAAACCGTCTTGAATCTCAACTACTTCAACATTTCTATCGCCAAAGTCGGTTCCAAGAAGAATATCTTGAAGCCAATTTCCATCTGAAAATGAAGAAGGTTATGCAACTTTAGATTCTCTTATCAACATATGGAATGATATCAACTTTAAGTACCATTATAAACCGATAATAAATATTCTTTGTCAGACTTTCGTTTAATTAAACTAATCCTGAAATTTGATGTACTCAAATTTACACTAGGAGTTTCAAGAGATATAATTTCAACATCCCCCGTAAAGTCGATAAATATTGATGCGATTAGAAATCCGATGACTCCTAAAACCAGCACCGAAAAAAGAACTAAGAAAGTTTTTCTTGCAGGATCGATCAACATCGTAACTAGTGAAAAATCCAACTAACGAACAAATACTTTTGCTTTTCTTATGTAGATACTTTAAAGTTGTTATCTTATCTCGTTTTGAAATTGTTGAAAATGCCAATTAAAATGATTTCTGATTAGGCTAATAAAACAGAATGATTAGATCATAGATTAAACTCGCTTAACAATATTAAGTGCATGTGAACACAAATAAAATTTATGCTGTTGTGAAAAATCTGAAAATATTTTATTTCATTTCATAAAGTTGAAAAAAGTGTGTTGAACTTCGTTCTAGTTTTCTGTTTCACAATCCTTTCCTGTGGCACCATGCAAACATACACAATGCTTGTAGTTAGATTCAGCAGGAGTCAAGCATTCATTCGCATGTCCGTTACACATACATCTAGCGAAAATTGCAATGTCAGTGATCTCGAACGTATTCAATGGATTGAAGACAAGTCTCATTCCTGTTGTTATAATTCCGATTGGAATATAAACGACTTGATATTTGTCATGCAAACAAGAGTCCACTGAATTGTCCACGAATTGTTTTGACTCATAATGACTGTGGAAAGTGAAATCACTGTCGTAAGAATCTTTTTTATAAATTTCAATGTTATCAGGCAGATTTTTTCCAAATGTTATTTGAATACTTTTAGTCACATGAGATTTATCTAGAAAGCATAATTGAGATTTAATTAAGCTATAAATTCGTGTGAATAAAGTTTATTACGGAAATCAATTGTAATGTTAACAGCTGTAGGAAAATCAATTTTTCCCTTGGAAAATAATGTTGAAGACGCATCTTTAGAATCGCAATACTGTAAAAATATATCAGTAAATATTAAGAAGAAATTAAATTTAATTACTTACTTTAAATGTTCCTGTCAAAGACTTAAAATCAGATTTGTTGAATTGATTTGAAAGTCTGTGAATTAGGAAAAATTTTAATTTTTAAAAATTCATTAAAACTTGATGAAAGTTCTTACGGTCCACATGTTCCACAAAAATATTCATTTTCTTGATTGATGTTGACACAAACGTTATTGTTATTACAACAAGTGTGCACAATTTCAGGTTCAATATTTGATGCAGCATTCTCTAAATTTGGTTCACAGAACTGACCAAAAAAGGTTAAGAATTTAGATATAATTTAAATCTTAATAATTACTCACGGAATCTGAACCATCATCATTGAAACATTTGAAAGCCAACAATTCATTGCACAACAGTAGAAGTGAGAAAATTAATAAAATAAAACTTTGATTAATTTTCATTGCTAGATTTACGTTTTGTAGCTGTCAAATCGACTGAATTATTTAAAATGAGTAAACAAACTGACTACTAATAAGTACAAATAACATTCTTATAAACTAATCTTAATTTTATTCCATTCATGATAACCCTGAAGAACTCCAAATTCCTGCCACAATCATAAATAATGAACAGATTTTGTTCACAAATTAATTATTACTCAGACTTCCATAGAAAAAAACTGCAGGTTTGGACTGCTAATCGATTACATCATTCAACTTTCCAAATTACTCAATTTCTTAGTTCATTTAGTTCGTCATTCTCAAGTCGTAATCTTCACATTAGTCATATATTCAATCATACTAACATGCATATTAAAGAAGTATTTTAAGTCATCGTGTGACAAGATTATCTGTTTTAAAATAAATAAATTAAATGTGAAGTGCCACTGGATTACAGATAGAAAAAAAAAACTTTGAATATTTGCTGTTTATTTAAACATCTTGACTTGAGTTAGTCAACAAAAAAAATTGAGAAATTTAAAGCTTAACTAATGATTAAATGTTGAAACTTTGAGTATATGGCACCAGCTTTCTTTTGCATGCATATAAAGTTTGTCATTGCACTCAGTTGTTTCAAACTAATCGAGGTTAATAACATTAAGTCGCTTCTGTTGTGCTTCAGCTGAATAAAAAACAAATTGATAATAAAATTTTATCGTTTCAGATTGTAGTCTCCTTTGACTTTAGTCGCCGTACTGTCTGGTTTCAAATACAGACAACTGGAGAAAGCTGTAACATCTCCTTGACCCATCTTAAATTTCACTTGTCAAAGTTGATCCTATTACCGGGAAGAAGTTTATCTTCAGAAGGAAAAACTAAATCGCAAGGTCAAATAACTCAACAAATTCCTTAGAAAAAAGGTGTCGAATGATCTTGTTTCCTGCAACTTCTGTTCTCGCAAACAGTCGACACTCTGTCTGGATAATTTTTCTTCCTTCAAAGGAAACATAAATCCCCATAAATTTGAATTTTCTTTGACATATATTTAAGCATGTTTTTCTGAAGGTTTTAAAGACTTCTTGCTATGCATGAAATGACGGGAGAGTTTTGTAAATTATTTTATAGCTAACACTGCTTATTCTTTTCTTAAAAAGTCATAAATCTTCCAATGATATTGAATTTTGTTCATAAATTTGTCACCATTCACATACGACAAATTAGCGAAGTAAAAATTGATTTGCTATGCTGAGACTTTTAATGATTCAATTAAAATTTGAGATCATAAATTCTTCTTTGAGCGACAACAGGCTTTTCGTTGTTACAAGTTTTATTTTTAATGTTGACCATGTTTCGGGACAGTTCATTGTGGGCGCACGATTAGTTGAATTTTTTACGATACAGCTCAATGAACATTCTTTCAATTAAAAAATTTACAAGTTTGTAGGATTCTTTAAAAGATTTTATTACAGATCGCGTTCAAATTGCTTTGAAGATGTTAAACATTTAACGGTTGCAGAATTGACAGATGATATCATGAGATCAAGTAGTAGTTAGCTTAATAATAATGTTTTTGAATAATAAAACATTCATATTTGCGTTTTTATAAAAGGCCCAGCTTAAAATGTACAATTGAATAATAAACAAATGGTTAAAGAGTTATGAGTCAATAGACGCTTTTAGTTATGAATCGCATCACAAATGTGACTTTCTAAATATAATTTCAAACAATGAGAACATCAAATATTTTAATTGTTTGTGTTTGCTTGAAAGAATTTATTTCGTCTGACGACATGACTCAATCAAGTTAAAAAATCAATTTTGAATTCAGTGACATTGAAATTTGACACAATTTTTGACAAAATGTGCTTGCTTTCCTGACCTTTCCATAAGTGCACGGTTGAACGATTTCTCATGTTTCATACGACTAAAAAATGTTGCAGAAGAAAAAGGATCGGAACGGTTGGGTGTAACATGATAGCAAGTCATGGCTCACGATATCTCTGCTCATTTTTTTTAGCTTCCTTGTAAAGGATATTAAGTGACAGGAAAAAAAAGTAGTATCTGATTTTTATTCGTATTACAAGCAAATTATAAAACGCTTAAAAGTAAAAGCAGTTAGATAGCAATTAAATTAAATAATAAAAATTTAACAAACTTTTAAATGTTTGAATGACTTGAGAGACATCTAGGGGCAGGGAGTGGAAACTTTAGTAGTGATCGTTCATAAATGGATTGATGAATATTTGGAGCAATATAAATGTGCTGAGGTCATTAATTCTGTTAAAATTTGATTAAATTCAATCTTTTAATTTATAACATTAACAATTTTTGAGTATGAATATGATATAAACAATATTTCCTCAGAATGCAAAGGATTTCTGAAAGCTTTTTCGTCGTTCATTTCCTTTGTTGAAAAAATGAAATTTATTACAGTAAAGCAAGAACTCAACACGTGGCTGTTGAAGTGGTTAAGTGATAGGAAATTCCTTGTTATTTTCTTTTTCTTTAGAAAAACACCCTCAAGAAAATAAACATTTGATAATCTTTTAACGCCTTAATTACGATAAATTCGTTCCCTTCACTCCTTGTTCACGAGTTGTGATGGTTTCTTAAATATTTTCATCATGTGTTTTTTTAAGTGGTAGCCAAAATCAATAAATCACTCATTTGTTCAACCTAACGTTGCATCGCTCTTTCTAAGGTTTCTAAAGTTGAAAGAACAAAAATTTTATGATTCCAGACCTCAAAATGTTTCTTCCCTTCACAAGTTTTCACGATCACTCTAATTAATTTACTTTAATAGTCTTCCGTTTATGTCGAACATTGAACAGTTAAATTTGTATTTTCCTAATCGATCACGTAACCGTCAAAGATTTCCATCGTTTCACGATTCAATTCATTTTATTTCCACCATATGTGCAAATGTGCATAAGTCGGAAATAAGTCGCAAGATTGTTCTTTAGAGATTTTGCGAAACTGTTTTTTTTAATGTTTATTATTATGAATGTAACGCTCATAAATGCATGTCAATTATTTATGAATGAATCTAGAATTTATGACTTAGTCATGTGTTGAGTTGAAAAGCAAATTCTCGCGAAATGTTTTTTGCTATAAATTAAAATTATTTTTCTAATGTGATGTAATTTAAAGTTTCTGTACATTGAAAGATCAAAAGTATTTTAAGACAAAGGTGAACAAAGTGAAATTTGATAGTGTCGGGGAAGAACTAAATAAATATCATTTCCAACAAGTGAGTTCCATCGTCAATCTTGTGACATGTTTCTTTTTCACAACTGAAGAAGTTTCAACTTTTCACTTCAAGCAGAAAGAAATGTCTCTTAAAAAAACATTCTTGAATAAATATTCGATGAGTATTTTTTATGAAGAAACTTGAACAGAATTGCGTTAATTAGACGATGAATTTCGTTGACAATTTTCTCGCGTTTTTGACAGCTTTATGAACAAATCTACCCATGGGATGGAAATGTTATTGTTTTTCTAGTGTCTGATATCGTTTTGGGATGAAGATACAAAATTTTCTCATGATATCTCAGTTTCCGTTGATACATTTTCCCACCAATTCCTTTTCCGTTTTCAAATATGAAAGTTTTTCAAATTTTAATTTTCAACTAACTTATAAATTCGAGCCCAAATCTACAATAGATCCAATAAAAATTGCTATTAATCTTTCATTAATTAGATCATAAAAAACAAATAAGTAGCATGAGAATGTCTTTTAGTTACGTTGTAGATTTATTTTACTCAGCACTAAAATATATAAAGAAGAAATCTTTTCATATTTCCTTCAAGTTAGTTACGATCTTATGGCATTCATTGTGCTGAAGAGAGGATCACATTTTGTCATCTGTTACGCCCAGATCTGGATATCTCGATGTTGATTGGTTGGATCATTTTAAACATATTTTGAAAGATCTTTCTTAAAATTTTCACAGATCTTAGAAGTAAATAAAGTTTCAAAAGTATCGGACGTGATTATAAATTCTCGTTAAAATTTCTTTTTCTTGAATAGTCTTAACTTTTATTTGTGCAATATTAATTATCTTGAATTATGTACTCACCTGAAACGACGCAATCAAAGTGCGAATATTTTGATCATCTCATACCATCATATAACTTAAATAAAATGAACAGCAATTTGATATCATCAACGACGTCGAATTTTTCTGACCATGGAAATTACCAACAAAATCCTTTAAGTGTTTACAACAATTATAATCCAAATTATCATCATTATCATTACTATTTTCCCCCAACTCTACAAGAATATGGATACAATCAACAGCAACCTGCAAACTTTCATGATGATTTTAATAATTCAAATTGGATGAGGAAATATGAAAATGAAAGTCAGAAAGATTATTTGCTGCCCAATACACCGCCAACACCATCAGAGTGCTGCGACTTTGAAGTACCTCAACGGATTACGACGTCATTAAAGACAAATGAAATTAAATTATTTAACGATCTTGAAAAATTATTTCCCGACGATCGAAGTGAAGTTAAAGTGACAAATAATAATCTTAGTGAGTCTTATGAAGCTTGTAGCTTCTGGGATAGTGAACTAACTTCAAATGAAAAGAAAATTGCTAAGAAATCCCCGCAAATTAGATCAAAATCGAGAATAGAAGTTTCATGGAAAAATGAAAAGAATGGAAAGCGAATTGCAAAATCCTTGAGTGAGTTAAATTATTTAATTTTTCTCAATTTCAATCTTTTATGGCAATATATTTTTCATTAGATTCTCCAGATAGTTGTGACACTTCTCCTCTAGCAGTATCAAATCGCAAAGAACGAACAGCTTTTACCAAGCAACAAGTGAAAGATCTTGAAGCTGAATTTATTCACTCAAATTATTTAACACGATTGCGACGGTATGAAATTGCTGTAGCTTTGAATTTAAGTGAGAGACAAGTTAAAGTTTGGTAAGTCATGACGAAAATTTTATATTTAAGTGAAAAATATTAACTAAATATATATTTAATATCAGGTTTCAAAACCGTCGGATGAAATACAAGCGATCGAAATCAAGTGGAGGTTTAAGTCCCGACAATTTCTCTGACAATAGTTACTAAAATCACCTATTTTAATTTGATATAGACAAAATTCTTGTGTGGTCTAGTTACTTATTCTTAAATTATTTTTATTATTTTTCAAACTATCAATTATAATTTGTAATATATCTATCTAAATAGAAATAAAATCTTTTTATTTTATGAGTGAAGTATTTTAGCAATAGTTTTTTTTAAGAATAGAAACTATGTTGAAGGATGTAAACATTAAAATTTAATTATTAATGTTAAGCATTTTATCATAACTTATACTTTAATCATTCAACATTAAACTTTTTTCATATATAGGTTTGACATCGTTCAAACCGTGAGATGTTTTAATATGTTTACTAGAATTGGGATAGTCTATGAATACTTGATTACAGCCTTCCACTGGACAACGATAAGGACGTTCGCCTGTATGCTCAGCTCGCACATGATAAATGAATCCGGAAGAGTGTTTGAATTCACGTGGACAAAATTTGCATTTGAATGGATTTTCACCGGTATGAACCTAAAGAAATAATTTTTATGAAAAATAGTTTTCGCAACAAAAATTTAATTAAAAATATTACATCCATGTGACGTTTAAAACGATTTTTCATCAAAGTTTTTCCACATATTTCACAGGTTACTTTTATCTTCTTTCTATTCCCGTGCACTCTTCTGATATGAGTTTTAACACTTACTCTATTGCTGAATAACTTTTAGAAATAAATAAAAAAATTAAAGTTTAATTACAAAACTTATTATGAAGAAGAATGCTTAATACATGCAATACTGAATTACCTTTCCACAGTTAGGACAAGCTATTTCAGATGGCTTATGATGCACTCTTTGATGACAGTGTAAACTATTTACACTTTTGAAATTCAAGGCACAAATTTCACACAAGTACGATTTGGGATTGTTACGGTAGAAGTGGTAGAACATGTGCGAAGTAAGCAGATTTTTTACAGAAAAATGTTTTCCACATAGATCGCATTGATACGAAAGTGGCAGAACAATGTGTTTTGTGTGAACATGATCGTCAAGCGTAGTTCCACGACAGAAAAAATGTCCGCAATATAAACAGAAATAAAAGTTATGATTAGGATGTGAAGATTTCATATGTTGGTAGAGATGAAGAAAACTTGTTCGATATTCTGAACAAATCAAACAGCAATATTTGAGTTCAGGTTGATGTTTCTCAATTATGTGGAAAACGTATTTAGGGTAGTTCTTATATGTTTTTAAACAACAATCTCTAACGACTCGCATTTTGTGATGCTTTAAACCGTGCTTTTCGACATCCACCACGTTCTCAAAGTTTTCTTCACATTCTTCACATTTCCATTCATAATTTTTCCAGGTAATTCCCTTCAACTTTTCCAGCATTGCATCAGGTAAAACTCCATCTTCATTCGGTTGGTAACCGCCAATGTCCATATCTTGCGGTTGAACAACAAAACGACCTTCTAGCTCATTTTTAAAGACAATGTGCATTTGATATTTTTCAGAATTCTTCAATGGTTTTTCTTTGCAACTTTCTTGCTTCTTTTTAGGATTCTTCTTCGTCTTAATTTTTTGAGTATTGTTCGAATTATCGGATGAAACAACAGATTTTTTTGTTTTCGTACTTTGTCTTCCACCATGAAGCTGTTCAAAGATATCAGGATCAAGTTTTTCTATTTTAATTTCTAAACTTTTAAATTCAATGTCATGAGAATAATTCAGCAATTCATCATTTGAAACAATCATTTGTAATTGTTCTTGAAGATCGAGCTTAAGCTTGATTTGTACAGATGAGATCAATTCTGCAAATTGGATGCACCTTTCCAAATTATTCACACATTCCCAACAAACAGAATTCGGAAGCATTTTGTTGAATTCCAATTCAACTTTCAAAGTATTTTCGAGTTTTATAATTATGTCTGATTCACTATCATAAATATCTTGAAGCTCATCATAAGACTTCAAGCCTCCACATAAACGACACACACTCATACTTATTTTCTTTATTGAAAGCTTGTGAGATGGCAAATAAATTAATTTTACTGATGTTTCTTTTGTTGATATCAACAAATTGTTTGTTTACAAATTCACGTACTATTTGGGGGTACGAGGATTTTTGGATGTTTTCTTGAAAATGTTTTTTCAAATAATTTGAAACCGTTAATTTATTAAATTATACTTTAAAGTTAGGATGCAAGATAGGTGTAATTTATAAACCACTTAAATATTTTGTTTCTACAATGAACAGGGATAAGAAAGGTTTTCATTTTGATTGAATTTTCATTCTATTTTATTGGAAATATTAATACATAAATATTTTACAACAAGTTTGGCCGACAAGGCGATTTTTAACTATTAGAAAGAGAGTTGTGGACAAAATTTATTTAATCTTTTATTGAATTTCACAAACGTATCATTTAGAAAAAAGCAACATATTGAGTATCCTTTGCTTTATGTACTACTTAATACTTATTCTTTTTTACCAATGCGAATAGGCTTGACATCCTTCAAACCGTGAAATGTTTTAATATGTTTACTAGAGTTGGAATAGTCTATAAATACTTGATTACAGCCTTCCACTGGACAACGATAAGGACGTTCGCCTGTATGCTCAGCTCGCACATGATAAATGAATCCGGAAGAGTGTCTGAATTCACGTGGACAAAATTTGCATTTGAATGGATTTTCACCGGTATGAACCTAAGGAAATGATTTTTATGAAAAATAGTTGTCGTAACAAAATTTAATTTAAAAGTTTACATCCATGTGACGTTTAAAACGATTATTTGAGAGAACTTTTCCACATATTTCACAGGTTTCTTTTATTCTAGTTCCGTGTACTCTTTTGATGTGACTTAGTGCGAGAAATCTATTGCCAAATAACTTTTAAAAATAAATAATTTTATAAGTTCTATTATAATATAATTTTTTTTAAATAAAAAACTGAATTACCTTTCCACAGTAAGGACAAGATTGTTCAGATTGCTCCAGGTGCCTTTTTTGATGACTTTGTAAAGTAAAAATACTTCGGAAACTTAAGGCACAAATTTCACACATGAATGATTTTGGATTTTTACTGGTTACATGGTTAGTCATGTGTCCCCAAAGCTGATTTTTTACAGAAAAATGTTTGCCACATAGATCGCATTGATACGAGAGTGGCAGCAAAATGTGTTTTGTATGAATATGATTGTAAAGAATTGTGCCGCCGACGAAATATTGTCCACAGTATAAACAAAAGTAAAAATTATGATTAGGATGTGAAGATTTCATATGTTGGTAGAGATGAAGAAAACTTGTTCGATATTCTGAACAAATCAAACAGCAATATTTGAGTTCAGGCTGATGTTTCTCAGTTATGTGGAAAATATATTTGGGGTAGGTCTTATATGTTTCTAAACAACAATCTCTAACGACTCGCTTCTTGTGATGCTTTAAACTGTGCTTTTCGACATCCACCACGTTCTCAAAGTTTTCTTCACATTCTTCACATTTCCATTCATAATTTTGCCAGGTAATTCCCTTCAACTTTTCCAACATTACATCAGGTAAAACTCCTTCTTCATTCGCTTGGTGATCGCCAATGTCCATATCTTGCGGTTGAACAACAAAACGACCTTCTAGTTCATTTTTAAAGAGAATGTATGTTTGGAATTTTTCCGATACCTTCAATGGTATTTCAAAGGTTATTGGTATTTCTTTGTGACTTTTATACTTCTTTTTCGGATTCTCTGAAAATAATTAAGAAGAGAAATAATTAAGGTTCTCAGTTTGATTGAATTTTCGATTCACTCTACTTCATCAGAAATATTAATAAATGTTTTAAAACAAGTTTGGCCGACAAGGCCATTCAACTATTAGAAAGACAATTGTGGACAAAATTTATTTAATCTCTTATTAGGAATCATAAATGTTCCATTTAGAACAGAAACAAATATTGTAAATATCTTTGCTTTATGTAGTTTACTTGGTCTGTGCTTACCAATGCGAATAGGTTTGACATCCTTCAAACCGTGAGATGCTTTAATATGTTTACTAGAGTTGCGAGAGTCTATGAATACTCGATTACAGCCTTTCACCGGACAACGATAAGGACGTTCGCCTGTATGCTCAGCTCGCACGTGATATTCATATCCAGAAGAGTGTTTGAATTCACGTGGACAAAACTTGCATTTGAATGGATTTTCACCGGTATGAATCTGGAGAAATGTAGTAAACGAGCATTAATTTTAAGATTCACACATAAAATATCGAGAATTACCATCATATGCGTTTTATAATTTCTCACAGAATTTCCACAAATCTCGCAAGTAACTGACGTTTTTTGAAAACCATGGATCCTTCTTTTGTGGATTCTTAATTGTGCCTGAAGTTTGAATGCCTGAATCAAGATTGTTAAGTGGCGTTATAATTTAATTGAAGTTGAATCTCTCGAAATAAAGCTCTGATTTAAAATATACATACTCACTTTTCCACAATGCGGACAAACTTTATATGGTTTATCACCGTTCAGAATGAGAACGTTCTTCTTCGACTTAATTATTCGAGTTTTCTTCTTCGATCTAATTTTTTGAGTATTCTTCGAATTATCTAATGGAACAACAGATTTTCTTATTCTCGTACTTCGTCTTCTAGCAGTAAGCTGTTCAAGGATATCAGGATCAAGCTTTTCTATTTTAATTTCTAAACTTTTAAATTCAATGTCATGAGAATAATTCAGCAAATCATCACATGGAGCAATCATTTGTAATTGNTATATAATCTTTTATTAAAGTTCACAAATGGATCATTTAGAAAAAAAACAAATTGTGAAATTGTGAAGATGCACTACTTCTACTTAGTCTTTTTTACTAATGCGAATAGGTTTGACATCCTTCAAACCGTGAGAAGTTTTAATATGTTTACTAGAGTTGGGAAAATCTATAAAGACTTGATTACAGCCTTCCACTGGACAACGATAAGGACGTTCGCCTGTATGCGCAGCTCGCACATGATATCTGCATCCACTGAAATATTTGAATTCACGTGGACAAAATTTGCATTTGAACGGCTTTTCATCGGTATGAGCCTAGAGAAATGTTTTTAGAAAAATTACTTTTAAGATTCATATATAAAAAAATTGTAGAGAATTACCCTCATGTGGGCTTTATAATAGAAAGATTTTACAGATTTTCCACAAATCTCACAAGTAACTAGCGACTCTTGAAAATCATGGATCCTTCTAATGTGGATTCTCAATTTCTTTTGTAGTTTGAATTCCTGAAAAAAAGATTGTTAAGTGGTGTTATAATTTAATTGAATTTTTTTCGAAACAAAGCGCTGATTAAAAAAATACTCACTTTTCCACAATGCGGACAAACTATATTAGGTTTATCGCCATGTAAAGCATCCTGATGATTTTTTAACGTAGTTATAGTTTTGAAATTTAAAGCACAAATTTCACACATGAATGATTTCTTTTTATTCAAGAATTCTCGACGTCTCATATGAAATAATATGACATGTTTCCAAATCTTATCCTTAGTAGAAAAGCTTTCTCCACATATATCGCAGTGATATGAAAGGGGAAGCGGCAAATGTTTGTCATCAATGTGCCTGAAAAGCATAGTTCCGCTGTTCAAATATTCTCCACAATATAAACAATAATAAAATTTGTAATTTGGATGTGAAGATTTCATATGTTGGTAGAGATGAAGAAAACTTGTTCGATATTCTGAACAAATCAAACAGCAATATTTGAGTTCAGGCTGATGTTTCTCATTTATGTGGTAAATATATCTGGCGTGGGTGAGATACGTTATTGCACAACAATCTCTAATAACTCGCTTCTTGTGATGCTTTAAACTGTGCTTTTCGAGATCAATTCCATTCTCAAAAGATTCCTGACATTCTTCACATTTCCATTCATAATTTTTCCAACTAATTCCCTTGAACTTTTCCAGCAATGCATCTGGTAAAACTCCGCCTTCACTCGGTTGGTGATCGCCAATGTCCATATCTTGCGGTTGAACAACAAAACGACCTTCTAGTTCATTTTTAAAGAGATTGTGCATTTGAAATTTTTCCGCATTCTTCAATGGTTTTCTGAAAAATGTTCGTTTTATTTTAGGATTCTTCTTCGATCTTATTTTTTGAGTATTCTTCGAATTATCTAATGGAACAACAGATTTTCTTATTCTCGTACTTCGTCTTCTAGCAGTAAGCTGTTCAAGGATATCAGGATCAAGCTTTTCTATTTTAATTTCTAAACTTTTAAATTCAATGTCATGAGAATAATTCAGCAATTCATCATTTGGAACAATCATTTGTAATTGTTCTTGAAGATCGAGTTTAAGCTTGACTTGTACAGATGAGATCAATTCGGAAAATTGGCTGCACCTTTCCAAATTGTTCACACATTCCCAACAAACAGAATTTGGAAGCATTTTGTTGAATTCCAATTCAACTTTCAAAGTATTTTCGAGTTTCATTATTATGTCTGATTCACTATCATAAATATCTTGAAGCTCATGGTAAGACTTCAAGTCACCACATAAACGACACACACTCATACTTATTTTCTTTATTAAATGCTTGTGAGATGGCAAATAAATTAATTTAACTGATGTTTCTTTTGTTGATATCAACAAATTGTTTGTTTACAAATTCACACTTTTTTGGGGTGCGAGGCTTTTTAGATGTTTTCCCATTGAATGCTTTTTCAAACATTCTGAAATCGGAATCTAATTTATTAAATTATACTTTAAAGTTAGGATGCAAGATATGTATAATTTATTAACACTTAAATATTTTGTTTCTACAATGAACAGGGATAAGAAAGGTTTTCAATTTGATTGAATTTTCATTCTACTTCATCAGAAATTTTAATAAATGTTTTGAAACAAGTTTGGCCCACAAGCAATTTTTAACTATTAGAAAGAGAGTTGTAGCCAAATTTATATAATCTTTTATTAAAGTTCACAAATGGATCATTTAGAAAAAAAACAAATTGTGAAATTGTGAAGATGCACTACTTCTACTTAGTCTTTTTTACTAATGCGAATAGGTTTGACATCCTTCAAACCGTGAGAAGTTTTAATATGTTTACTAGAGTTGGGAAAATCTATAAAGACTTGATTACAGCCTTCCACTGGACAACGATAAGGACGTTCGCCTGTATGCGCAGCTCGCACATGATATCTGCATCCACTGAAATATTTGAATTCACGTGGACAAAATTTGCATTTGAACGGCTTTTCATCGGTATGAGCCTAGAGAAATGTTTTTAGAAAAATTACTTTTAAGATTCATATATAAAAAAATTGTAGAGAATTACCCTCATGTGGGCTTTATAATAGAAAGATTTTACAGATTTTCCACAAATCTCACAAGTAACTAGCGACTCTTGAAAATCATGGATCCTTCTAATGTGGATTCTCAATTTCTTTTGTAGTTTGAATTCCTGAAAAAAAGATTGTTAAGTGGTGTTATAATTTAATTGAATTTTTTTCGAAACAAAGCGCTGATTAAAAAAATACTCACTTTTCCACAATGCGGACAAACTATATTAGGTTTATCGCCATGTAAAGCATCCTGATGATTTTTTAACGTAGTTATAGTTTTGAAATTTAAAGCACAAATTTCACACATGAATGATTTCTTTTTATTCAAGAATTCTCGACGTCTCATATGAAATAATATGACATGTTTCCAAATCTTATCCTTAGTAGAAAAGCTTTCTCCACATATATCGCAGTGATATGAAAGGGGAAGCGGCAAATGTTTGTCATCAATGTGCCTGAAAAGCATAGTTCCGCTGTTCAAATATTCTCCACAATATAAACAATAATAAAATTTGTAATTTGGATGTGAAGATTTCATATGTTGGTAGAGATGAAGAAAACTTGTTCGATATTCTGAACAAATCAAACAGCAATATTTGAGTTCAGGCTGATGTTTCTCATTTATGTGGCAAATATATCTGGCGTGGGTGAGATACGTTATTGCACAACAATCTCTAATAACTCGCTTCTTGTGATGCTTTAAACTGTGCTTTTCGAGATCAATTCCATTCTCAAAAGATTCCTGACATTCTTCACATTTCCATTCATAATTTTTCCAACTAATTCCCTTGAACTTTTCCAGCAATGCATCTGGTAAAACTCCGCCTTCACTCGGTTGGTGATCGCCAATGTCCATATCTTGCGGTTGAACTACAAAACGACCTTCTAGTTCATTTTTAAAGAGATTGTGCATTTGAAATTTTTCCGCATTCTTCAATGGTTTTCTGAAAAATGTTCGTTTTATTTTAGGATTCTTCTTCGATCTAATTTTTTGAGTATTCTTCGAATTATCTAATGGAACAACAGATTTTCTTATTCTCGTACTTCGTCTTCTAGCAGTAAGCTGTTCAAGGATATCAGGATCAAGCTTTTCTATTTTAATTTCTAAACTTTTAAATTCAATGTCATGAGAATAATTCAGCAATTCATCATTTGGAACAATCATTTGTAATTGTTCTTGAAGATCGAGTTTAAGCTTGACTTGTACAGATGAGATCAATTCTGCAAATTGGCTGCACCTTTCCAAATTGTTCACACATTCGCAACAAACAGAATTCGGAAGCATTTTGTTGAATTCAAATTTAACTTTCAAAGTATTTTCGAGTTTCATTATTATGTCTGATTCACTATCATAAATATCTTGAAGCTCATGGTAAGACTTCAAGTCACCACATAAACGACAGACGTCACTCATTTTTATTTTTTAAATTTATGAAAGGCTATGAAAATTAATTTTACTGATTTTTTTTGTTGATATCAACAAATTGTTTGTTTACAATTTCACACATGTTGGGAGGGTACGAAGTTTAAAGAATGTTTCATCATCATGACGCCAGGTGGCATAAAAAAATTCGGTTTTTCTACACAGCTTCAACCGCCAAAAACCGTCATTTTTAGTAAATTTATTAAAAGTTACTTAATTATGTGAGTATAATTGATTTAATTTGATTATATTTATATTTCATGAGTAATCTCATAATATCAACTTAATATTTGGCAGTTTAAAGCTGAAATTAAGCTAATTTCACAAGAATGGCTAGAAACGAAAAACACTTGAAGGTGATTAAGGATATTTGTAGCAAAATAGAGAGTTCAGCTGACTGTAAACAAGAAATTGTAGAGCTATCATCGTTAATACATGGCAGTGATTTTTATGAATATCATTCCTTTATTATTTTATTGGAGATTCTTTCCATAAAAACCGATCTCCCTTCGGTTAACAAAAGAGCAGTTTTTGAATTGCTCGGGATCATAGTAACAAAGAAAAGTAACATCAAAGACTCGTTATTGTCAAGACTGTATAAGTTTCTCAGTTCTGTGGTGAGTATTGTTTTTGTAAAATCTGTTGACAAATCAAAAATTTTATTTTTTTTCTAGATTCGTTCGGATCTTGCGGCCGATTTCATTCCAATTTGCAATTTCGTAAACCATCAGAAAATATCAAAGAATGAATTATATTTTTACATAACAGAAGAACTTCTAATGTTATCATTAAATTCAAGTCATCGCAACAAGATGTATAAAAATTATCTCAGCTTCTTTAAGCAGTGGACGGCTAATGATTTGTTATTATTGAAATCTTTCTCAAGAGTAATCTTCAATCTTCGATCTCACTCAAAAGAGAAGGAGGCCTTTGAATTGATAGAGTCAGTGTTGCTCATTGCCATCGAAAAAAAGCATTTTCATACAACGGATGATGTTTACAAGGAACTTCTTGGAATCTTCAAAGCAATCATGAAATTTGAAAATGATAAGAAATCAGTGAAGATCATTTTAAAACTCGTCAATTCATACGATTCAATTAGTAATGATCCTGTTCAAAAATCTTGTAATTCCATAATTTCAAAAGTGTTAAATGATTGTTCTAATTCGAAAATCACCGAAGAAACAATTCGTAGCTTATATTTGAAAGATTACCACAGTCCAAAAGATATCAAAGAGAATGATTTACATCAAGAGACAGCAAGATTTATTTCAAGTTTATTTCATAAATACGTTAATGATATTGATCAAAGTGAGAAATGTTTTGCAGCTTTCCATTATCTCTCGTATAATATTGGGCAAGTTTTATGCAGCATCAAGGACGTCGAAGGTAAAATCGCATGCTGTAAGGATATAAAACGACATGAATTCAACGCTCTCTCTGCAAATATGATTCATTATAGTACATTTGTCGCCCAAACAAACACAGTGTCATCGAAATTCATGAGAAATCTTCAGTATCATATCAAAAACAACATAGAAATTAGTCATAAATTCAAATGCAAATCAAAAGACAGAGAAGTTCAAAATTCTTATAACCGGTTGTACAATTTTTTGCTCATATTTGTTCGTCTAAAATCTTTGGTGTCAAAGGTTCCATCAGATCTGTTCGAGTTATGCCAAAAAATGCTTGAAATGTGGAGTGAAATCAAGGATAATGATCGAGAACCATATCCTCTCATTGTCAACATATTTGAGGCTCCTGAAAATTCTGATGTTGCCTTTTTCAGTGTAAGAATTTTATCTTCAGTGATCAAGTGTAGAAAAGAAAGTTTGAATGGTGAAGATTCATCAAAAGAACTTAAAAATCTCATCCGATTCATGTGGAAACACCGAGAAGCTAGAAAATGTTTAGGTTTCTCATCAAGTGTTGAGTTTATTCATAGTAAAACATTCAAGGATATAAAAGATATGATTCCTGTCGTTGATTTTATTCATCTTGAAATCTGTGCGTTATCACGATTTGGACCGGGAGAAGTTCAAGATTCCGCAAAATTATTTGAAGAATTAATCGATAGGACTGATGACGTTATGTTAGTTGCACAATCATGTCGAGCTGTTAATGATTCAATGATAAAAAACACAAAAATTGAAGTCATAGAGAAAGCTATTAAAATATTGGAAAGTGCAGCAAGTGAGAAATTTAATGTTGAAGTGTCTTTGGCTCTTGCTTTAGCCAACTACTCAATTTATTCTTTCAAATCAGACATAATCAATAAAGCTATAAAAGCTGAAGAAGCTCTTGACAAGTTGTATAAGCTTGACATTCAAAAGGAAATAGAATTGTTGAAATATTTAGAAGAAAGTTTACATCATTTCACTAATGTTATCCATCATTTGGTGACAAACAAAGAAGATGTCGCAAAAATCTTTTCATTGAAAATAATATCAACAATTTTGTGGAATATCGGCGGTCATTATCACAATCGAGGAATTAAACACAAAGATCTTGAAACTTTCATACTTTTATGGAATTTTTCCCAAATTGAAGATCTGAAATTATCCACAATGCTCAATATTGGAATATTTTTCTTAGATTTTTGCGACGTTCTCGTCGATGGTAGTGGAAACTACTTAAGATTCTCAAAGAAGTTTAAAACGATGACAATTGACGAGATCACATTGAAGTTGGATAAGATGATCGAAGATGAGAGTCAATTAAAACTCGGAGAACAAAAAGACGCAACGAAATATTTTATTCTTTCTTATTTGTTGAGCTTGTGGGTGTATAAAGTTTGTCATGGAAAGAAGATCGAAGGATTTCAAAAATTTCAACAGTTCAAAGAATTATGGTTGAGTGTTAGGAATTTACAACTTGATACATCAAACAACGATCTTATACTGTCGAAGCTTCATTTGTCAGTCGCTGAAATTAACTTGACTTGTTTCAATCGATTTTGTCCAAACTTTATTAGTGCAGCCAATGCAAACATCATGAAGATCAAGGAGATTGATCCTCATTTCGTGATTCAGTTTTATCAAATTTTTTGGCGCACTACAACAAGAATCATCAATTACTCTAACAATCGTCTAGTGGATATGAATCATTTTGAAACGACAATGGGTTCACTTATCTTACATGCCACAAAGAAGAGTTTTTGCTTTCGTTTATTGGATTTTCTTTCGTTGTCAATTTTACGTTATTTAAACATGGAGAAAATTGATAAAGCAAAGGTAATGAATTTTAAAGTGATAAAAATATTAAACAGATATTCTTAATATTTCTTTTTATTTAATTAACAGACTCAACTCAGAGATATTACATCACTTGTTGGATTAAAGGAAGAAATTCTTATTGAAACTCCAACGAAAGTCGAAAATCCTATCAGTGCATTTAGTTACGAAAGTCATGAAGAAATAAGAAAAGTCGCTGTGGTTTCCAAAGACCATATGGAGCATGTAAGTCTTTCATTTCATTATTTTACATATATGTATAGTTTATTAATATTTTTCTTTTTTGAAGGAACTTTCAATGATCTATCAAGACCAAACATCACTCTTGTCACGCCAACTTGAATCGTTTGTTCATAAACTTTCTTGTGATTGTGAAATTTGTAACATTCCACAACTTAAGTTTGTAACTTTTCAAATTGGCTGTCATTATTCACGTCTTTTGTGGTTGATGGGAAAATTCAAGATAAGCGTAGATTTTAACAGCTTTGCCTTCAAAACTTGGAGAGAAGTTTGTGATGTTGTTCGTCGATCTAGAAATGATAAACAAACATTGATGATCGATAAAACTTCTTTCAATATGTTTTCAATTAATTGGTTGTTGCAATATGCTGATGGAATGATAAGAATCAAAGAACTAAATGGAGTTGAAGAAATTTACAATGAAGTTGAGCTACTTTGCACACCTGACATTCCTGATTACGAATGCTTCAAAGAGACTCTTTATTGCCGAAAAGAAAATTTAAACTTTCTCATTGAAAATAACATCACAAAGCAACAAAAATCTGAAGAAAAAGCTACAACGTTGTCATTCAATGAATTTCTCAAGATAAGAAGCAAAGAAAAACCTAAGAAATCACCAAGAAATAATTCAAAAGCTAAAAACGATGTCAGCAATGTAATTTATGTGGATTCAAGTGGAGACGAAGACAAGAAGCCGACAACCTTTAAGAATCCGAATACTCGCTCACGTACAGCAAAAAAGAAGACAACGAAAACGGTTTTGTGAGCACCAAAGAAAATGAACACTCCCAAAAATTTACAAATGCAAGCTTAAGCATCGAAATGGATTAATTTATTTCTTACTTCTTTTCAATTATTACTACACTCATTCTTTATATTTAAATAATAATATCAATAAATGTTTACCAGAAAAAGGTGTTTAAGATAAGTTCAATAATTTTATGGCTTTATTTTATAGCGCTATTCATAGGTGGTCGTTGCTTGATTAAATAAATTATCACAAGTTTCTTTTGTTTGTAAACAAATTCACAACAAAACATTAGTGGGTACGAAGTATTGATGTTTCCATAGTAACATGTGTTCAACATAAAAACATTGAAACATTGATGTTGCAGATTTTGCCGGCAAACTTTCAATAAAAGCTGCAGTTAGAAAAAGAATAATCAGAAAGGCGAAAACCAAATCTTTACTGGATTTATATAAAATAAATTGTATGCAGTAAAATCTGTTTTAGAAGAAATTTAAAGAAAAAAGATAAGATTTATTTTAATTTTATTTTATTATTAATGTTACCTTCTTCTTATAGTTTAATTTCTTAATAGAAAAATTATTTATTTTTACGAACTAGGACAGGTTTGACACCTATCAAACCGTGAGTTGTCTTTATGTGTTTGTTAGCATTGGGATGGTCTATGAATGTCAGATCACAATTTTCCACGGGACAATGATAAGGACGTTCGCCTGTGTGCTCAGATAATGTATGATAGCGTGCTCCAGACCTGTGTTTAAACTTGCGTGAACAAAATTTGCATTTATATGGCAATTCGTCAGTGTGAACCTTATGTAGAAAACAATTTTGATTATTGAATTAATAAATAATTCATAGAAAGATTTTCAAAGTTACCATAACATGACGTCTATGTTCAGCTTGAGTTATTGAAATTTTTCCACAAACTTCACATGTTAATGATGGTCCTTTGTATTCATGGAGTCTTCTCAGGTGACGTTGCAAAAGCATTTTACTTTTATACATCTGTGGAATAAATGTTGGTAAACAAATTATTTCTAATGGAATATTTGTAAAGGTGACTTGCCTTTCCACAATATGAACAAACTTCTTCAGATATGTTGCTATGTGAACTTTTTTGATGATTTCTTAAATCGTAAGAGTTACGAAAATTTGAAGCGCAAATTTCACACATGTAAGTTTTTTGCTTGATCTGTTTGTCTTTTGTATGAATTAATGTCATGTGCCTAATAATTTTATCTCTTCTGGAAAAGCTTTCCCCACATAAATCGCAATGATACAAAAGCGGCAGCGGAACATGTTTCTCATCAATATGTCTGAAGAGCATGTAACAATCATAATGAAATTGTCCGCAATACAAACAAATTAAAATTTTGTAATTTGAATGAGCAGACTCTATATGTCGATAAAGATGAAGAAAACTTGTTCGATATTCTGAACAAATCAAGCAACAATATTTGAGGTCAGGCTGATGTTTCTCAGTTATGTGGAAAAGATATTTGGCATAAGTTCGAAAAGTTCGGGCACAGCAATCAAGTACAACTCGCTTCTTATGAAGCTTTAAACTGTGCATTTCGAGATCCATTACATTCTCGAAATATTCCTGACATTCTTCACATTTCCATTTATAATTTTTCCAGCTAATTTCCTTCAACTTTTCCAGCATCTCATCCGGTAAAATTCCGTCTTCAGTCTTTTGGTGGTTGCCAATGTCCATATCTTGCGGTTGAACGACAAATCGACCTTCCAGTTCATTCTCGAAAAGATTTGCCATTTGATAGTTCTCTGCAATATGTGTGTACTTTTTAACTCGAATTCGTCTGCGTTGTTTTGGCTTTGACGCTATGCTTTCACTTTTCGATTCGTTTGGTTTTTTCGACACATTTTCTTTTGTAGATTGTGGGTTTTTCTGTTTGGTACTTCGTCTGTTTGCAGTGGAATGTTTAATCTTATTTGGATTGAGTTTTTCTAATTTAATTTCTATGTTTTTCAATTCAACTTCATGTGAATCATTTGGTACTTCATAATTGCACTCAAACATTTGTAGTTGTTGTTGAAGCTCAATTTCAAACCTGGTTTGAACAGCTGAGATCAATTCTAAAAACTTATTACAGTTTTCTAAATTATTCACACATTCTAAACAAACAGAATTCGGAAGCATTTTGTTGTATTCCAATTCAACTTTCAAAGTATTTCTAAGCTTCAATATTATGTCTGATTCACTGTCATAAATATCTTGAAGCTCTTCAAAACATTTGAAGTCTCCACATAAACGACACACACTCATTTTCTTTTAATTGAAAACCCTTAAAACATCTCAATTATTTTATTCTTTTTGTCTCAAATTTGATTTGTTTACATTTTCTCGTGTGGTACGAAACTTTCGCAATGTTTTTCACAATGTTTTTTTGAATGTTTGATATATTTTCAATGTTTTCAATGTTGAGGTATACAGAAATTAATTTTTTATTCTATAACGAAAGGAACAAAGTGCTACATAGAAGAATATTAGAGACACATTTAATTCTTCTATTCGTAACATTTTAAGGAGAACCCGATTTTTCAGTTTTAGAGTAATCATTTATTAAGATTTAGGTATGTTTATTTGTACATGTTAGTTCAAAACTCTTGTTTTCTCAAGTAACATGTGATAATTTTAGTAAAAGAGTCATTGAAACATAATTTTCAATTTTACATTCTTATTAAATTATATATTTTAAATTTAGTTTCCTTTACCAAGATGCACTCTGATATTAACAATTTTGTCTGAGCCTGATGAGCTTGACTTAGAAACTTTAGCCATAAGCTTCAATTTCTCCTTTGTTTTTACAGTTGGATTAGAATTTCTTTTCTTTTCGATGGTGTGTGAAGATTTTGCAAGTGGCATTGAGGTCGCAGAAGACGAATTCTTTGAAGGTGGTGAAGGCGATGCTTTCTCTTGAGTTTTCTCAGTTTGACAAGGAATACTTTGAGTGGGTCTTGATTTAGACTTTGGGCTTTTTGTGTTTTTCGTTTCAGTATTAATTTTTGCCTTCTTCAAAATATTACTAGCAGGGACTTTGAAAGTTTCTTTCTCATTTAACTTTGTTTTCTTTGAGTTTTTAACAACACCATGATCATTGAGGTTCAGAAAAGATTCAGACATTTCAGTTCCCTTACTCGATTTCTTTCCATTTGTGGAATCATCTTCCGAACGTTTAAAGAAAGATTCAGACATTTCAGTTCCTTTGCTTGATTTCTTTTCAGCATTTTTCAGAATTTCCTTTTGTACAAAAGATTCAGTGATTGTTTGATCACAATTAGTACCGCTGTCAACTTTCTGTTTTTCTTCTCGTATTGGTTTGTCTGAAGGTCTTTTCATTTGAGACCGAAGTTTTTTAGGAGCAACGACACTTTGATCTTCATTTGCCTTCATGCTCGCTTCTAGTGCCACTTTAATTGCATTCCTTCGAGCTTTCTTATCATCAATGGAATCATCTTCTGAATCATCATCTGAATGATTTATTAATGATTTGTCTAAAGGTCTTTTCGTTTGAGACCGAAGTTTTTTGGGAGCAACGACACTTTGATCCTCATTTGCCTTCATACTCGCTTCTAGTGCCACTTTAATTGCATTCCTTCGAGTTTTCTTATCACCAATGGAATCATCTTCTGATTCATCATCCGAATGATTTATTAATGATTTGTCTAAAGATCTTTTCGTTTTAGGCCGAATTTTCTTGGGGGCAACAACACTTTGATCTTCATTTGCTTTCATACTTGCTTCAAGTGCCACTTTGATTGCATTCCTTCGAGATTTCTTATCATCAATAGAATCATCATCTAAATGAATTGTATCATCTTCAAATCCAATTGGTTTGTGTGTTGATTTGGAACGAGGAGTTTTTTTGCGATTAGTACTTTGATCTTCATTTGCCCTCATACTCGCTTCTAGTGCAACATTAATGGCAACCTTTCGATTTTTGTTGTCATCACCGGATTCATCTCCTGAGTCATCATCTGAAAAATCTGAAGTATCTTCAGAATCATCTTCAAATTCAAAGTTTGAAGGGTTAAAAGATTCATCTGAATCGTCAGATTCTCCATCCGATGACAGAGTTTCTATTGTCGTTGACTTGGACTTTTCCATAGCTTCGATGACTTTATCTCCCATATTACTGGCTATAGCATCTATGTCATAGTCAATTCCTAAACTTGCAGCTTTTGCTTTATGCTCATTCAATCTATAATAAAACAAAATTCAAATAATTAATATTAAGAAAGAAAAAAACAATTTCAACAAACTTACTTTTCAGCAATTCTCTTTATACGTTTTTCTTGATCTGCATCAGTCATAAGCTTATTCGAATTTTCAACTATAGCTTTTCTGGCTTCAATAGATTTGGATGTGATAACTTTCTGTCCATCTTCGTTTATTCTTTTTATTCCACTTCTGAAGTAATCATATTTGATATCCTTAGGTGCAATGTAAGCTGTTTTAATAATGTTTTTAAACATCATGTAGTTATTCATTGCTCCTGCTGCAATTTCAGCTACTTCTGGATAACGAAACTCGATGAAAGCATAACCTTTGGATTTGAGAGTTTTCGGTGATCTTGCAAGTCTCAAGCGTGTGATCGCTCCAAATTGTGAAAAATATCCACGCAATTGTTCCTCATAGAATCCATGTGGTAAATGTTTTATATATACAACACCACGGCTACGATGTTTGTTTCCTTTCTTTTTTTGCTTTATTAGTTTTGATTTCTTATTTACAAGCTGTAAAAGAAGTGTGCTTCAAAATTCTATTGAAATCTATCAACGTTTAAAGTTTGTACTTACCGATCCAGAAATGAATTTCTTTTCAGGAGATTTGCTTTTTGTATCTATCATATTTTCTGACAGTAGTTGACAATTTAATATAACTTTAAATTATTATTAATTCTTACAATACAAATTTCTTGAGTTCTCGTGGGATTTTAATAACCTCAGAATTTTAGAACCGTGTTTGTAGTTTGACACCCTTTTAAAGGGGTTCCCTGGCGCCGCGCAGGGATTTTAAATTACACTGTCAAAAATATTGAATATTTGATCATATTTATGTACACATACATTCGTTAATCAAACAATTAGAATTGAACACGAAGCTTAAAAGAATAAAAATGGATAAAGTCAGTAATGTTCGCGTAGGACCACTTCCAAATGACAGTCCGTATATGAAGCCTTTTCGTCTGTATTTTAAGCAAAATGGAAAAGAGAAGAATTGGGGTAATTGAAAATAAATATTGATTAGAAAATAAAGTGATAATAAATATATTATGCAATTATAGATCTTGTAAAAGCGCACGATTCAGTTGCTATTATCACTCTCAACAAAACTCGAAATAAATTGGTTGTTGTTAAACAGTTTCGTCCCGCTGTTTATTATGGACAAATTTGTGATTATTTAAATAGCGTTGGAAGTGAAGTTGACTCGGAAAAAGTCATAGAAATGTTCCCACCGAAGAATGCTATTACAATGGAGCTTTGTGCTGGAATAGTTGACAAAGATATATCTCTGGTTGAAATAGCTCGCGAAGAATTAATTGAAGAGTGTGGCTATGACGTTCCCGTTAATAGAATCGAGGAAGTTATTCGCTTCCGATCTGGTGTCGGCACCACAGGAAGCTTACAAGTTATGTACTATTGTGAAGTAACCGATGATGATAAAATCAACGGTGCTGGAGGTGGTGTCGACGATGAATTGATTGATGTTCATGAATTGTCCATAGAAGAAGCAAAAGAAATGTTAAAACAAGGCACCGAACACACAAGCCCACCAGGTTTTCTCTTTGGAATACTTTGGTTTCTTACAAACAAAGCACAAAATTTGTAGACCTTTAGCCGTCCGTCAATTATAATTGATTTATTCCATTCTACAAATAAGATTTGTACTTTAACAAAAAAAATTGCCTCAACATTAAAGCAAAAAATTAATTAAGATACCTTGGTGAATTGTTGATTTCTGTAATAATTTAACTAAAGTCTTAATACAAACATTTACTGATAGTTTTCTAAAATCTGCTTTTATTTAACATATTGAAAGAATTTTTTTATTAAATTGGACAATTCAAGCTAATGAATATCTTTTTATTTAATCGTTTATCGTTTTTGACCAAATTATAAGAATAAAGACGATTATCTAAATCAAAATTAATATTATTTGTCTCAAATACGCTGCAATGTCAAACATGTGAAAGTGCAGAATATTATTGTGGCTACATACTTTAGTATAATGAATAATTATTTAATTTAAATTGGATAAAAAAGTTTTCGTCTTTGCTGAACATACAAGGAATTGTTAAGGATTGTTTAAACACACGGTTCAACATAATTTCCTGGGAAAAGTCCAGTGACACCATCCATAACACCTTCCCACCTAATTAATGAAAATTAAATCAGTTCTTTGGGGTTTCATCAAAATAATTTAACTTACCATCCATCGTCGTTCTTCTTAAGAACATATAAAACTGAAGACTCTTGAAAACTCAACTCGTCGTCTTTATCAGCATAATAATCATAAATTGCGACAACTAAAACAAAAAATAATTCATTTATTACTTTAAAAATTAAATCAAAGTATTCATTGACAAACCTTTCTCAATGTAATTCTTTGGGACCCATCCTGGAAGATTTTGATCATCAGGAACAATTGCTGCTACTAAGCTTTGCTGCCTCGGTCGTCCAAAGTCAGCATGTTCTTCAGGTGGAGGTGGCAGTGGTGGACTCTGACTACCTGGTCGTGGCATATTACGTGAAAGTGTATGCAAACCTATGTGATGTTGATCTGGCATTTCATGAGTAATCGAATGCGTGATTGTCAATGGGGATGGTGGTGGTGGCATATTCATGCTGCTTCGATCATCATATTGAGATGTTTGATGTTGCATGGGATGTAACATTGGTTGAGTTGAATTCAAATGCATTGCAACTTGTTGACTTGGTGGCATTGGCAATGAACTGTAGCCAGGTCCGCGATCACCAACTGACGAGCTGCTGCTGTTTTGTCGTCGAGGATGACCAATTGGATAATTTGGAGCGTAGTGTGATGGAACCTGAGGAGGAATGACAACTGGTGGGGCTCGATATTCACCACGAGACTTGCCCAATGTTCCAGTATTGCTAATGATCTTCGGACCGGTACTTGCTCGAACTGAACCCGTTTGTGGTGGTGTCGGAGGTTTCGTTGTTGGTGGTGGAACTGTTGATTGAATTGAAACTTGACTTGAAATGCGTTTCGATTGTTGTTTAGAGCCAAGTGTCATTCCATGTCCAACTTCATCCAATAATGAATAATCGATTGGTTTTCGCACATATTTTATTGGCTTTTCCGGATTAGATGGTGCAACGATTTTATATTGACGTGTTGAGACTTTGTTTGCTGTCAAAACTCCAATTTCTCTTCGTGCTACTTTTTCCTTATGAATCATTACCGTTTGAGCGATGTGATTCATTTGAGACTCCATTTCAGCTAAATTATTCGCTTGTAAATCAAGCAATTGGATGTAGTTTGATGCAAGAGTGTTTATTTGATAAGCAACCGAGGCAAGCGATTGTGTTGTGAAGTTTTTTGTTTCTTCTAATGCTGCTTTCTTGTTCTCTGATCTGATGGGAATTGGAACGTGAAATGTGGATTGAAAATTAAATTATATTATATTTACCTATAATAAGAATCTTCACAGTATTCTGCAACTCTTTCGAGATTAAGAAATGAATCCTTAAGGCTTTGTCGGCCTTCAGGAAGATCTTGTTTGATAAGCGTGATTATTTCGTCCATGGTGTTAGCACCAACACGAGAATTATTACCCTCTTGATACGTTGAATCTGTATAATAAACAAGAATTAACATAATAAATTTAATTTATTAACCGAATTAACTTCCCGTCAATTGCACAGGAATTTTCGGTACGCTTTGTAGGTGGGGAAGATTAATTTTTTATAGCACAGAAAAAACAAAATAAATTCGAGGTTTTCTTCATTCAACTCACCAGTAGCGTATGAATATCTATTCATAGTTTGTATGCCGTCTTTGAATGCTTATTATTTTACTGTTTTATCGGAAAAAATTAATAAAACAAATTTAGATATTTTTTTTAAAAAAATGACTCAACCCTTATAACAAAGCTTTGTTAAAAATGTGGAAGTATACTACAAAAAAGTGGTACGGTATGTCGCAGTCAAGGGCGATTTTTTTCCGGGCGAGACTGCCTTGTGAAAAAAACTTGTGGCTTGAGGGATTTTCCAATAATTTTATCGAAATTTTCATAAAGCATTGTAATATGAATTAAAGCTATAATTCATTTTCTTATCTTTTTTGTCATAAAACCATTTTGTCTGCAAATGTCACAGTAACAAGAATTTAAGAATTTAAAAAAAGGATAATAAAATAACAGAAAGTTTTTTAGAAAGATCTCTATCTATAGATGAAATGAAAAAATTAAGATTCAAACAAAATGACTAATTGAATGTTTTATTTACTTATTGATTATTTTATATAATGATAAACTTAATGACTAGATGAATGAGAAGTTTATAGTGTAGCTAAAATTCTGGTCACTCCGAGGAAAATTCCGAATAAAGTCTGTCCAACACCCCAGCATAATGCCACAAGTGGTGATATGGGGACAATACTGTTGCTTTGCACCCATGCAATGAAAATTGAAGAAATCAATCCAGCAGTAATTGGAGATAAAACACCCCAAATTAAAATGAGTATTGAGAATAAACGTCCAAATTTGTGTTTCCTAAAAATAAACAAATAATGTGATAGTTCTTATTTGATAGTTCTCGTTTGAGACAAATTCTCATTTGAAACAGTCAACAAAATAAGTTCAATTTATGATTTACCTTAATAAATAAAAACAAATTAATCCACAAATCCCATGAATGAAAATTGATGATCCACAATGCCACAGCCAAATATGCCAAGTGATATCAAGAAATTTTATTAATGATTTATCTTGCACTAATCTAAAGACATCACGCATTGAATCTAATGACATCCATGATTCTTCAATTTTCTTTAGCTCAACTGAAAAATAAAAAAATCATTTATTTCGAATGAATATTTCAGTACGAGTTCTTACTCATTTCAAATGTTTGAATCCACAACACAATTTATTGAAACTAGTCTTGCAATGCACTGCAACAAGATTTTTCTTAAATTAATTCATAGTGCTTAAAACTTAAAAAACATTATTCAAATCTACTCAAATTCTAGAATTTAGTTTGTAAACAAAGGTTGGTGTCAAAACGGTTCAGGAGATTTCTCTGCAGGGTCTTGTTTTTAATGAAAGAACCAAAATATTGAGCCGATTCAACATAACTCACTTTTTGAGCCGATCCTGTTGGCAATTGGAATTACTTTCAAAAAATTAGTTATTGAATAATTGAATTAAATAAGCCTTCAAAATGGTTTTAGCAGACCTAGGTCGGAAAATTACGACTGCCCTCCATTCGCTGAGCAAGGCGACGATTATAAATGAAGAGGTAATGATCATAAACTTTCCTTTGTTTTGATATCATTATTGAAGATTTTAATTATTTTTTTTCTATTTTATAGGTTCTAGATGCCATGCTTAAAGAAATCTGTACAGCATTATTGGAAGCTGATTGTAACATTCGCTTAGTTAAATCTTTAAGAGAGAATGTTAAAGCAGTAATTGATTTTGATGAAATGGCTGGAGGTCTAAATAAAAGAAGAATGATCCAATCGGCAGGTTTTAAAGAGCTTGTTAAGGTAAACAATTAACTATTTATCATGCTGATTGGTAATAACATTATATTTATAGCTTGTAGACTCAGGTGTCAAGCCTTATCAACCAGTAAAAGGCCGTCCAAATGTCATAATGTTTGTTGGTCTTCAAGGATCAGGAAAAACAACATCATGCACTAAACTTGCTTACTATTATCAAAAGAAAAATTGGAAATCATGTCTTGTTTGTGCCGATACCTTCCGCGCTGGAGCTTACGATCAAATCAAGCAGAATGCTACAAAAGCAAGAATTCCCTTCTATGGAAGTTACACAGAAGTCGATCCAGTAGTAATTGCTCAAGAAGGTGTAGAAATGTTTAAAAAAGAAGGTTTTGAATTCATTATAGTTGATACTAGTGGTAGACATAAGCAAGAAGAGTCATTGTTCGAAGAGATGTTACAAGTTGCCAATGCAGTGAATCCAGATAACATAATCTTCGTAATGGATGCCACAATTGGTCAAGCTTGCGAGGCACAATCTCGAGCATTTAAAGAGAAAGTTAATGTTGGTTCAGTTATTATTACAAAACTTGATGGTCATGCCAAAGGAGGTGGTGCTTTGTCAGCTGTAGCAGCTACAAAAAGTCCAATTATCTTCATTGGAACAGGCGAACACATTGATGATCTCGAACCTTTTAAAACGAAACCATTCATCAGTAAACTTCTTGGCATGGGAGATATTGAAGGACTCATCGATAAAGTTAACGAACTTAAGCTTGATGACAATGAAGAACTTTTGGAGAAGATTAAACATGGACAGTTCACAATCCGAGACATGTACGAGCAATTTCAAAATATTATGAAAATGGGTCCATTCTCACAAATTATGAGCATGATTCCTGGCTTCTCACAAGATTTCATGACGAAAGGAAGCGAACAAGAATCAATGGCGCGTATTAAAAAGCTCATGACGATGATGGACAGTATGTGTGATGGTGAACTTGATCATCGAGAAGGTGCTAAACTCTTCAGTAAAGAGAATTCGAGAGTTATTCGTGTTGCTAGAGGTTCCGGTGTCACTGAACGTGAGGTCAAAGATCTCATTTCACAATATACGAAATTTGCTGCAGTCGTTAAGAAAATGGGAGGAATTAAAGGGCTATTTAAGAGTGGCGACGTGACGAAAAACGTTAATCCTACACAAATGGCCAGACTTAATCAACAAATGGCTAGAATGATTGATCCACGAATGCTTCAACAGGTAATGCTCACAATTTTTTCTTCTAAATCCCTACAACTCATTAGAATCTTATCAATCATTAATTTATTACAGATGGGTGGAATGAATGGATTGCAGAGCATGATGAGACAACTTCAACAAGGTGGCATGTCGGGACTTCAAAATATGATGGGTGGAAATAAGTAATTAACAACTTCAATTTTGTTAAATCTTTTTCTTTTATTATTATCACACGACATCTGGATGCACTATGTTAATATCTTCTCCAGTGCTACAACATTTGAATAAATTTTTTATTTCCTTTCTCTTCATTTGGTTTATAATAAAATGAAATCTTTTGGAAAATTTTCAACTTTTTTCTCATCTTACGAAACTTATGGAAATAAAGTTTTAATGTTTCATTTATTTAGGTGGTTAAATGTGGGGAAATATGTAATATAATCTTAACAGAGATCAAAATGAGACTCAAATTATTCTTAACTAAAACTTTATTTAGTTTGAACACTTGAAATTCCTTTTAAAGCGAGTATGTTGTCTGTTTTTTTTTAATGTTTATGTTTCAATATCGACTTTAAATAGTAAACAAATATGAAGCTGCTAGCATAAACTATTTTTCCATAAACATTTCTGTAATTATTTTCGGTAAGTAGATATTCATAACTATTTCCGATAACGAAAATACATTTTTGGATATTTCTTTTAACATCATGTAAGATTAATTAATACTTTGATATATTTGTTGTTCTTCAAGCGTCAACTTATTGTAATATTGAACAGAAAAATCTCAAAGAACAGACAAGATCTAGGAACTTATGCAATATTCTTCTACTTATTGGTAGTTCAAAACTTTAAGCTTTCAAATCTTATATAAACATAAATTTGCTGTTTGAAACATTTTTCTTCAGTTATTTATTTAAGCAGTTAGTAACGATTTTATTTCCACTTTAAGTGAATGATATTTTTATAACTTCAAAGTTTTTATTTATGTTTCTAAGAGTGAATCTTTTTCAAACTCTACTAGATAGTTTAAGAATTCTTTCTAAAATAAATCTCTAAATATGTTTTATATCAAAATATTTATCCTGTGTATATTCAACTTCCTACAATTATAAATGTATTTGCTTTTTTACTTTATTTTCTCTTTGCTAAATTGATTATCAAAGTATTTAAGTGATGGAAGTTTAACTTCCATTGATTGTTTCTAACATTGATTCATTCTATTAAGTGTTCTTTTAATTCAACATTGAACTTCTGTAAGCTTTTTTACCATTTAATCAACTAACAGCAAACTATTCTACTTTACGTATGATACCAATAATTAATTGATTTTATGAACCTGCCATAGATTTTGCGACTAGATAGTTCTTGATTGATTTTCAGAGATATATCTGAGAAGATCCAGAGCTTACAAGAAGCTTGGAATCAAGTTTATCAAATGTGTGACGCTACGATAAGCAATCAAACCATTACGATTACATTTATCTTCTCCATCCTTATATGTAAGAGAGATTGGTTTCTTTTTCATGATACTTGCCTGCAAATCAATAACATCACCTCCGATAGAATTCAAAATTGCTTGACCAGCACATGTGTCCCACTTGAATGTTGAATTTTTGCTGAGAAAATAAATGCCAGCATCATTTTCAATGACCTTGAGAATTTTATAGCCAGCACCGTTGGCTATCACGGTCTTATATCCAGCAGACTCAAGTGTGGGTTTACGAGTCTCAGCTGAAGAAATTATTGCGATTTTCTTGGAGTTGTCAGCAGAAGAGTTCTCAATATTATGATGGTTCTCACCGTTGATAGAAGCACCCCAGAAGATTTTGCTTTTAAAGTCATCATCACTTTTAACGAAGAATGGCTGATTAACGACACCCATGAAAGGTTTGCTTGTTTCCATATTATAAGCGCCAATCAAGATTGTTGCACATTTTAAACCAGATTTTTCAATGTTAGGAAAACTTGTAGAAGAACAATTTCCATTGATGTACTCAGCAGTGCCATCGATGGGATCGATCCAAATTCCAACTTGTTCAATGTTAATCAGCTCTACGATATCTGGAAGCGTTTCTATCTCATCAACTGACACATCTTTATGGACCTCTACAGCTAGAGCTTCAGCAGCTTTTTCATTGCCATCTAATACTTTAAGAAGTAATGACTTGGTTTCTATTGGATCTTCCGTAATAGAAACAACAACACTTTCACCAAGAATGTTTTCGAATTTATTCGACTCTTCTCCTTTGATATTTTCACGTAGTTGAGGAAAAAGAACTCCTACATCATGTTTAATTGTTTCCTGGATAACGACATCCGCAAGAGTCTTGAAATCATTAACGAATCTTTCATTTTTCTCATTTCCCGTTTTTTCTTCAATCAAAAGATTGAATAACTCTTCGTTTTCTCTACATATTCGAGCGATGTTGGCTGCTTTTTCAGAAGCTTTAATGAGAGTCGAGAGAAGTTCCTTAGTTGTCATCTTAAAACTGGTCGACTTAATTTTTTCTCGTTTTATTAATTAAAACGCGTAATTCACGTGAAAATAAACAAAAAAATTTGAGTCGTTTTTCTTCTTTGAACCGGTGCAGAAGTTTTGAACCGTTACTAACGTTACTTTTTTCGGTTTGTTTATTTTTTTGGTTTGTCTGTTTATGTTTTCCAACAAGTTAATTGTGACTGAAATTTCAGATGACGGTAAAATATATTTTATGCAATCATTCTAAGCTATGTTAAGCATCAATTTTTATATAGAATTCACAACGACGTATCGATTTAGATCGACTTTCACGAAATGTATCTGCAAATAAAAACTTTGAAGATTATTCAACGGCATTGTGTCAAATTCAAAGAAATTCCGCTTCAAGATCGTTAAGCCGAAGATTGGCTGAAGAAAAGAAAGAAAAAGAGATAGAACAGCACTTGTTACAAGTAAATATTTGTAATAAACTTAAACGGTTAGATGCAGAGTAAGTTGAAAATATTTAATTTCAGGCTGAAGAAGAATCTCGTCTCAAGGAAGAAAAATTAATTCATGATCAAAAATTAGCTTGCGAGGAGTCTAAAAGAATTCGTCAAGAATACCACGAGCGTAAATTACGACAACAGATAAGAGAAAACAATCAAGAATTACGTGAACTTGAGTCAAAATTAAGAACAGCTTATGTTTCAAAAACCCTTGCAGCTCAGAAAAAAGAACTCGAAGCTTTAGCTCTTGCAGAAAAACTTCAACAGAAAGAGGAGAGAAAAATGTTGGAAAAAGCTCGATTAGATCATTTAGAGGAACAGAAAAAGAAACAGGAAATTGATCGTGAACGTAAAAAAAAGCTTCATGACGATCTCACGAAACAAATTATGTCTGCTCATCAACAACATCAGAAACTTTACGAGGAGTTCTTACGTGAAAAATATTATCTTGATGAGATTGCTGCACGTGTCAAACAAGAGTTGTTGGAAGAAACACAAAAGAAGATTGCACTTAAAGAGAAAACCAAGCAAGAAATGGACGCTTTTAAAATAACAAAAAAAGAACTCGAAAAAATGCAAAATATAGAAACTGAAGAAGAAAATCAACGAATTATCGAATACTGCCAATATCGTGACAAAAAAATACAGGAAGAAGAGAGACGTGCTAAGGAACTTGAAGAAAATCGCAAGAATCTCAACGATAAAATGGTTGCTGAACTTTCAGAACTAAACGTAAGTAAAATTAGTAAAATTCAAAATTATTTGATAAACTTTTTCATTTATTCACAGGAAAAGAAAGCTAAACGCGAGGAGCTTCTTCAAGAATTGTGGGCGTTTGAACAAAACGAAAAAGTTGAAGAACGAATGCGAGAACAACTTGAGTACAGGTTTAGAATTCGCATTGAAGCTCGTTTAGCTTTGGAAGATCAATTGATGGATAAAGAAAAAAGGAAGCAGCTTGAAGAACAAGAAGATAAAATTTATTGGCAAAAGCAACTCGAAATGCTTGCAGAACGTGACAGGGTTGATCAATTGTCACACGAAAAGCGCCGTCAAAAACTGATACAGCATCGAAAAGCAATTAGGGAAATGATGGAAGAAAGAAAAATACAAAAAGCTCTGAATTTAGCGGAAGAAATAAAACAACAAGACTTAGAACAGCAAAGAGAGCAACGACGGTAAGAAAAAATTAATTTAGTTCCTTAAAGTTGTTCTCTTTCATTTCATCCTTTCCCCGCCCTTAGGCAAGAAATTGTTGAAGAAGAACGCGTTAAAATCATTCAAGAGCATGCAAAAGCTCTGATGGGTTTTTTACCCTCTGGCGTTTTACGTGAAAGTGACCGTAAGTATTTGCCAATGAATTCCAAGATTGAGTAATTGATACAATTTTACGAATAATAAACCTTAGACGCGTAATAAAATGTTTAAACAAAAAAAAGGTAGCATATTGAGTACATAATAAATATGCAAATAAAAATTGCAAGAACAAAAATTGAAGACCATTAAATTAAATTAAGCTTAAAACACGGTTGAAAGAGTTTCACTGAAATTCAGTGAATTGATGTTTTTAAGCTCTTATTCAAATATGGATCTCTTAAATAATTTTTAATGTGGACTGAATAAAAAACGTTATTTGACCTTCCAGAAACTTTTCATTTACAATGAAGCTACTTCATTAAAATTGATTACCCGAAAGGGAAGTAAACTTAGTAAGGAGATGATTCTAGGTCGATCTTTTTAATTCAATGAACTGTTTTATAGCTAAAACAAGAAATTCTGCTGACATTTTACTTGGAATTTAATTTATTGCACAGTTTAATTACATTAAACTTACTTCAGTAAATGATCAATTAATTTTATGCTATTAAGATCAACGTCTAATTATATGCAATTATGAAATATCGAGGACAATACTGTTCTACTTAATGAAGATGTTCATACTTCAATTATATTGTCTTTAAAAAGAGAAATTTAATTTGTTACAAAGTTGTAAAAGAAATTCCAAAGCTGCAGATAAATTATTCGCTTTTCTTCAATTATCATCATTTAGTATTTTAAAGAGACAGTTTAAGTATCTAACAGAAAAATGAAAATGTTCTTGATTTTTCTCATTTCCTTTTGATAAAAAATGTTTAAGGTCCTTCAGGTCTTCAAAGGCTTTCTGTTGGTCGTCATGAAAACTTTGTTGAATTCAGTCGTTATATCGTAAATAAAAGAGGGAAATATATTCATTTGAAAAAGGTTTTGTAATTTAAAATGAATTATTCCTTAGAAACATCTGAAAAATATGTATCTAAAAGGATTTAAAGGATCAAAGACTAATCTCTTGAGTGTCTTATAAATGATTATTCCATCGACCATGACTGCATATCGAAATAAAAGAATTAAAAATAAATCTTTATCTTAAAGAATATTAAGAACTTTAAGAAAATTATTTCTTAAAACTTTCTATTCCTTAAGAAGATTGGAACCCTCATGTTGACTCTTTAATTAGGAACTTTTTTGATATTTGTTCACGATTGTATCTTTTGTATTAACTTTCTGTATGTGACCTTAATGACAATTCAATTCCAGCAATTATATATGTATACTTATCTGTAACGTTTCTCTTAGAAATCGAGGATATTGAATTACAATTGAAATCAAACTTATCTTCTTTTTTCAACAAAACTTTTCATGAAGGACGTTGCCAAAGGAAATTTTAATACATATTGTCAGCATATTTCTTGGAAAGAAGTTCCTTGGTTTATGTTCAGCCCTCAACTTTTTTTTCTCGGTGAAAACTTGTGAAAGTAAATTAATGAAGTTTATTCTTGGCTTCCACCATGTGTCGAGATTTCCTTGAATGAATGATTGGAAAAGTGAGATGAATTACTCAATAAATATTTGAAATTCTATTGCAAGATGTGATTGGGCGTTTCCTGAAAATAAAAAATTTATTTAATTCATCTAAGATGTCTCAAATTTGAAAAGAAATCACTTCAAATTTCTTGAAAAGATTTTGTATTAGCGTTTTCAATTACGTTTCCTTGCGAAAATTGAGAGAAAGAAAACGTGATGGAAAAATCGCAAATCCCACAACCACATTAAACACAAAACCTTGGGATACTAAATACTTTAAAGCCTTGAAAACAAGGTCGTAAAAATATTTCCTTATAGACGCTTGTTTGATGAGAGAAAGTTTCGTTGAATGGAATTTCTCAAAGAGTCCTTTAAGTGTTTACCTCGTTGTACAAGAAAACTCAATTTTACTGATTCCAATCATCTCAGTTTAAGTTCTTTTGTTTTTGTATCAGAATACCGTCTTTTCTCAAGATTTTCAAATCATTCCGTGTCCACTTTAGATAAGAGGTTTACTTGGGTCATTAGAGACAGTTGAATGATAAGTTCTCTGAATAAATAAATTTCAGTTTCAAGTTAAATTTGAGGTGTTTCTATGATGAAAGTGATTTCTCCCCAGTCAATTGAGAAAATGAATGGAATTGAAATCAGAACAGGAAAGTTGAATGAAATGCAAACTTACAAACATTTTTCAACTTGATATTCTAAAGTTGTAATTTGTAACTTGATTTAATTTGAAACTTTTAAAAAGTTTTGTTGCTTTTGTACTTGGACAGTATCGAACCCTTGTTAAAAACAAAAATTAACAAAACATTTCTGCTGCTAATTAATTATTTATTTTTTTTATTAAGTACCTTGATAATTGATTACATACCCAAGTTGGAAAAAGAGAAAATTTAAAATGAACGATAAAAACTTCTTCACTTGAAAATATCCACAGCTTTCACAAAGACTGAACAATGAAATTTATAGATGTTTATTAATGATCTTGAGAAACCAGAAGATTGTTCGACCTTTTATCATTTCCACATGAAAGGATGATTCGGAAAAGCCACGAATAAAAGGTTTAGATAATATTCAATATGCTGGTGATACTTTTTTTGAATGAATTCTCTTGGAATGAACATTTAGCATCTAACAAGCAAGATTATGTGATCGGACTTGACTAGATTATAACTTTTTTAATTTAACAGATGATGCTTGAATTATTGACTATTACAAATAGAAAGAAAGAAAAATCAATTTAAAAAAGGAAACTTCCTCGTTAATAAAGATAACGTCGGAAAATAGTAAGAGAAAGATTTTCCTAGTAGATATTTACGAGAGATGTTATGTAGAAACCAATTTAGAGATGCTTTCTTTTGAGATAGCTTTCTGAATATAATTCTTTTCAGGTGCTTATCTAGTTGAATAAACAACCAGGTAAAGTTTTACAATACAAGAGGAAAGACAAACAAAGTTAATTGAAATAAAAGTTTAATATAAAACCTAATTATATTCATTTGGAATTATAGAAACTCGTTGTAAATTCTTTGATTTAGATGGAGGAATTTAAAATTTATTTTCAATATTACTTTGTGACTTATTGCGACTTATATTTTATTTCTATAAATTTTCTCTCGAAATAATTTATCTTTTATCTATTGAGTTGGAGTTAACACCTACCTGCTTATGAATTCTGTTTTTATTCTTCTATAATAATTAATAAAGCATTACAGTGAAACATCATACACAATGTTAGTTAGTGGGAGCTTTCATAAAATATTCTTGAAGCTTATGTTTTATAACCAAATTAATTTTTCATCTTGACTTTCAAGCTTGTTAAGAGTTCTAGGAATTTCAATTTCCAAAGTAAAGAAGAAATTTTTTTGTTCTTGGTTTTAGACGATTAAGTTCAATTTTCTTGAAATTTCAAGGCGATCATTTTCTTGCTGTAAGATTTGCTTTGTTTTACGTTGTTGAACAAAAACGCGGGTTTCAATTTAAATAAATAATTAGATAAATAATATTTGCTTATTGTAAATTCATAGCCAATCTTAAGTTGAAACCTTGAAATGAATTCAGAATCGTTAAATTTCTCGAATTATCCTTTATAAGCTTTTAAAATTGAAATCATGAGTCACACATGAAACACAAATCAATCAGATAATCACTATGAGAAATATTAATCAAACACAAAACTATCAATGTTAACAATAGAAACCAGAAAGTTTTAGCATGATATTCTCAAAATGTTGTTAAGGATGGATAAACAAATTCTATTACGGAGGCCCCACCCTAGGGTGACGGGCAACCGTATTTTTAAATTCAAAATTTCCAAGAATCTAGTATAGCATTCAATGTAGGATTGCAACTATAGCAACAAAAATGTCATCACAATCCACTTCAGCATGGCGATATGACGGAATAATCTTAATAAAGTACGTCACAAAATGTTTTCGTTATCATATTCATAATGTCATCATATTTAATAAGTAATTAAACTTAACACAATTAAGAACATTAAAAGTTTGAACCCTAAAATTTCACTTAACATTGACATAACTTGAAAGCATAAACTTTTGTCAACTTCATAAAGAATTTATGAATTAATTTAATGTACAATTAAACAGAATGAAATCATGTTCCAGTTTTTGAGCAATATATTAGATAATTAATTAATGGTTGTTTACGATTTAATTTTATTTTTTTCAGAAAAAAACAACTAAAAACTGACCTGTTCAATATCTTCATACATGACTTTGAGTTTCCTTTTGTAAATATTTTCAGGCTCAAAATCCTTTTAATAAAACTTCATGGAATCGGAATGCCATTAAATGGCAAGAATTCTTCCTAAATAAATATTAACATCTTTTGATGTAATGTCATTCAAAATATAATGATGGCAAAAACCTTTCTACATGAATTAATTGTATCTGCCTCTCAAAAGGGAAAAAGCTATGATCAGCTTTGAAACCCTCTTAGTAAAGTATTGATATTTGGTATCACGGCAACAGGCGCGTTAAGAGAGCAACTTAATGTTTTGGAAAATAAATAGTCATCGTGTTCAAGCAGTCGAACCACATGTTTGTTGTCATTGTTTCTGAGCTTTTTTAGTTTTTTTTCTCTTTCCTCTCACAATCGAGCTTTAATATGTATTTAGAGTGAACTTCAATATTCCTTTTCACTACTTTCATGTATAATTCCGTGTTCTTTTTATTGTACTAGACTCACGATAGCTTTTCTAGTGGATTGAAAAGCCTGACTTTCCAACGTAACTCGCTCAGTATTTATTTTGAATGCGTTGTAGTCACAACTCGTGGGATTCAAAGCTTCAAGTTGTAAAAGTTTGTTTATTTAAATCAAATTTGACACTCAGTTATACGTAATCAGTGAGCTTGAATGTTTTACATCAACGGTTGAATCTGAAAGCATACATGATTTGACGTTCAAATTATGAGAAATCAAATCTGTTCCGAGATATAATCAAAATCTTTTGCTACATATAGCATAAAAGAACATGTTTGGGATTTAAAAATCGATAAAATGAACAAACTCGATTCTATGACAGAAGTAAAATATTTTATCGCGAAACATTTTCAGTTCGAAGCTGTTTCTGCCCATTAAATTGAAAAGTTTTGGAAAAGTCAAATCAAATAAAAATCATATTTTTCATAACAAAATTAATTTGAAGGAAATCTCACAAGAAGATTTTAAAGCACTTGAGAAATAAATGAAAATTATTTGTGACAAGGTGAAAGAAATCTTACACAAAGAGTTTCTTGATTTTTATTACGGGATTTTTCTTTCTATTTTGATGGAAAATAAAGTTATCGAAAGTTTTGCAAGATTCCAGCAAAAGTTTTAAAGTCTTTAAAACGAGAATTTTATGTTTCCGCATTTGTCTGTTTCGTACGTCATACAATATATTCTCGCTTCGATTGCTCGAAATAAGTTTGCAATAGATAACGAGACATTTCCTAGAAGGATTCGTTGTGAAACAATTCTGTTTCTATGCAATGACATTAAAGATCTAAAGTCTATTCAGGCAGATAATTCAGTTGACTTGAAATGACCAAATTTTATTTTCACAAAACCCTCCAACTCCAAATAGATTTTTTTTTTTTTTTGATTCAACTTATTTATAGTGGTTTGAGCTTGTAGCCATTTCCCCACTTGTTACTAATAGTAACTATTTGTATATATTTATACTAAAGGGCCGAAGTATCTAAACTTCACTCTACCTCATGACCAAGTCGGGGTTCGAACCCGGGACGTATGAATTGTACGCCCGACTCCAAGCGACTTAAGCCAATGAGGCTATTTGACCCCTTTGTCGGCACTTATGGAAGTTGACGTTTGAAACTGTAACAGAGACTGCAAATATGAATCATAATATGAAGTC